TCTTTATCTATCTGCAGCCAGGTTGTGAATTAAAAGCCTCTCCTTCAGTGCTGTTTGGGATAAGACTGTGTCCATACGTTTGATAAGGAAGTCTTTCTGGCATGAGGGGCATGACTAAGAGGCAGGCTTATGGTGCAGAAACGATTTGAGCATGCAAAAATACAGGGAGTGCAGAATTATTAGGCAAGTTGTATTTTTGAGGATTAATTTTATTATTGAACAACAACCATGTTCTCAATGAACCCAAAAAACTCATTAATATCAAAGCTGAATATTTTTGGAAGTAGTTTTTAGTTTGTTTTTAGTTATAGCTATGTTAGGGGGATATCTGTGTGTGCAGGTGACTATTACTGTGCATAATTATTAGGCAACTTAACAAAAAACAAATATATACCCATTTCAATTATTTATTATTACCAGTGAAACCAATATAACATCTCAACATTCACAAATATACATTTCTGACATTCAAAAACAAAACAAAAACAAATCAGTGACCAATATAGCCACCTTTCTTTGCAAGGACACTCAAAAGCCTGCCATCCATGGATTCTGTCAGTGTTTTGATCTGTTCACCATCAACATTGCGTGCAGCAGCAACCACATCCTCCCAGACACTGTTCAGAGAGGTGTACTGTTTTCCCTCCTTGTAAATCTCACATTTGATGATGGACCACAGGTTCTCAATGGGGTTCAGATCAGGTGAACAAGGAGGCCATGTCATTAGATTTTCTTCTTTTATACCCTTTCTTGCCAGCCACGCTGTGGAGTACTTGGACGCGTGTGATGGAGCATTGTCCTGCATGAAAATCATGTTTTTCTTGAAGGATGCAGACTTCTTCCTGTACCACTGCTTGAAGAAGGTGTCTTCCAGGAACTGGCAGTAGGACTGGGAGTTGAGCTTGACTCCATCCTCAACCCGAAAAGGCCCCACAAGCTCATCTTTGATGATACCAGCCCAAACCAGTACTCCACCTCCACCTTGCTGGCGTCTGAGTCGGACTGGAGCTCTCTGCCCTTTACCAATCCAGCCACGGGCCCATCCATCTGGCCCATCAAGACTCACTCTCATTTCATCAGTCCATAAAACCTTAGAAAAATCAGTCTTGAGATATTTCTTGGCCCAGTCTTGACGTTTCAGCTTGTGTGTCTTGTTCAGTGGTGGTCATCTTTCAGCCTTTCTTACCTTGGCCATGTCTCTGAGTATTGCACACCTTGTGCTTTTGGGCACTCCAGTGATGTTGCAGCTCTGAAATATGGCCAAACTGGTGGCAAGTGGCATCGTGGCAGCTGCACGCTTGACTTTTCTCAGTTCATGGGCAGTTATTTTGCGCCTTGGTTTTTCCACACGCTTCTTGCGACCCTGTTGACTATTTTGAATGAAACGCTTGATTGTTCGATGATCACGCTTCAGAAGCTTTGCAATTTTAAGAGTGCTGCATCCCTCTGCAAGATATCTCACTATTTTTGACTTTTCTGAGCCTGTCAAGTCCTTCTTTTGACCCATTTTGCCAAAGGAAAGGAAGTTGCCTAATAATTATGCACACCTGATATAGGGTGTTGATGTCATTAGACCACACCCCTTCTCATTACAGAGATGCACATCACCTAATATGCTTAATTGGTAGTAGGCTTTCGAGCCTATACAGCTTGGAGTAAGATAACATGCATAAAGAGGATGGTCAAAATACTCATTTGCCTAATAATTCTGCACTCCCTGTATACAGCATATTATTGAGGCCAAAATGGTTTCGTTAGTGCATTTGTGCCATAGAAATTAAGATTTGTGCTGCTTTTAGTATTGGCACTAACCAACCAGACTGGTTTCATGTCTTTTGGCTGTTGTCAGGGGCTGGGTGACTTATTTAAATGAGTAATAACTCAAAGTACAATTGCAATCTTAATAAAAATGGCACAAATCTAGCACTAACGAAAAGCAGTGGATTTTTTAATTTTATTTGTGCCGATTGTAGGGAGGCCAGCTTCACACAGCCGGCCAAAATCTATTACATGCTGTATTGATGCCCAGAGTGCCTCTTTAACAGGTATGATTCTAAAATATGCAGATTGAGTAACAGGTAAATAGCTTGTTTGTATTTATATTGTATCAATGGCAGAATCTAAATAAGATACCCATTTCATGAGCCTGACAGACACAAGTTAACAAAAATTGTTATCAGGGAAAAGAAAAAGAAAAAATAAGCAACAAAACAAATAGCTGAGGTGACATTGTGGTAAATATGATATAAAAATAATTCTAAGCAAGACACAGGTGAAATGGAATTTAATTAATCTGAGAAATAAAAACAGTCATCCACAGATCAGTAAATGAAACGGCTTTAAGAACATAATAAGTACAATTTGTCTTATGCATAATTTTAGCAGTTTTTACAGCTACTGTATAGAGCAAACAATATAATTAAAGGGAACACAAGTATATAAAAAAAAAAAGTACAAATCCTGGTTTAGTAGATATACCTGCAATAAAAACATGCATTTAAATATGTTTTTTCTTCCATTGGGGTTATATCTAAAACAGTTTGCAAAAGCTGAAGATCTCCTGTTTGAGGCCTTTGCAAGCCCTCGTCTTCAAACCCAGCCGAGACTTACGGTGGCTTCCCAATGCAGCTCAATGAGAAGCGTTAGCAAGGCTGGTGCTATAAGTAATTGCATGCTGCTTCAGTTTAGCTCCATTGAGCTAAATAAATCAGGAAGTTCTCTGATTGAGAACAAGGTCAATTTATGACTGCGCCAATTTATTTTTTGCTCTTTCTGTATAATGGGAGGAAAAAAAAAAAAAATCACTTCACACATAAAGCACTTCAGTAAGCTGAAGTGCTCTATGGGTCTGGAGTTTCCCTTTAAGCAACACTGTAATTTGAGTGAACCGTGCAAGCATATGTGTTCATGCAACTTCAAATCAACAGTGGCTATTCCACAAATCACTGTATAATACCCAGTAGCTAGCTTACACCTACGCAAAAGAAGAAAGACATTTTGACTAGTTAAAGACACTTCCCATAAAAAAACACTGAATGCCTGTAAATCAAATCTAGCGCAAACAAGGAGGTGGGAAGACCATGGAATCATTCTTTATTTTACAGTTACATTTATACATGTTTCAATAGCGTTTGCATTCTTTTTTTCTTAATATTGTAACAATGTCATTTCAATCCCTACACATTTATATTTAGTTTATAAGTAAATTTAAATATATTTATAAAACAATACAAAAACGGAAGTGTGTGTTGGCTGCGACTACATTCTGGCATATTTTCACTTATATTCACTAAGCAAAATAAACATTCATGTGTTATGTAGTAGGCCTCCTACGTCATGATCTCTAGCATCTAGCATGCAGGACTATTTGCAATGCCTCACAGACCATTTGAGATAAGGCTGATGCTTGTATTTCAATGGCAACGGTCATCCTGGAGGAACATAAGCTAGATCAAGTAAGTATGTTTTAATCTATACTCCTGCAAGCAATCCAACACATATATAGATTAGACTCTTAAACCTACACTAACCTTACCCAATACATAACTTTTGGCAGATGACTGAAACATTGTAACCATTAAAGTATTTTGAATTAGGTCATTCTAAAAGATGTAAGGTACTTTTTTTTTTTTTTTTAAATCCATTACATTACGTTAGTTCCAGGAGATTTAAGCTTATAATATACAACAGACAAGAAGAGACTGTAAAGTAGAGATACACGTGTAACTTTACTTTGTCACTGAGCTAAATTACCAAGTGACAGAGTATGGTGTTGACCCATAAAATGATATGTTGAAGAAATACAGATGATATTATGGGTTAAAAGAACACTATAGTTTCAGGAATACAAACATGTATTCCTGACACTGTAGTGCTGAAGTAGCTATCTAGGTGATGGGCCCCTCTGTGTGATTTTACTCACCTTTTCTCCCAGGTCGCATTGGTCTCAATACGGCAGACCCCGCCTCCATGGCTGGATCATCCTTCTTCATGATATCAGGCAATCCAATGCCGAAGGCTATTACGCATGTGCAGCAAAATACTATGAAGCACCAATCAACATCTCTTCATAGAGATGCTTTGTATCAATGCATGTCTATAGGAAACGTTCAGCGTCTCCATGCAGAGCATGAAGACGCTGAACGCCAGTGCTTTACACTGTGCAGCACTGAAGTAGGAAGCACCTTTAGTAGCCATCTGAGTGGCTACTACTAGAGGTGTTACTAGCCAGCAATGTAAACAATGCCTTTTCTCACAAAAGGCATCGCTTACAGTGCTAACACTGCAGGGACATGCTATAGACACCAGAATCACAACATTACGCTGCAGTGGTTCTGGTGATTATAGTGTCCCCTTAAACATAGAAAAGTATTCCTTAATTGTCTAGTACATCATAATTGTTGCAGTTCTGCAAATAAAATGTCATGTAGTAATCCTGTCAAAAGTCAGTTGATTGTTAAAAAAAAAAAATTTAACAGCTGCTGTTAAACCTTAAATGGAAACTTGATTTTCACAAACTACAATCAGGCAGTGGTATAATAGCACGTTTGCCACAGGATAACCGTGGTTTCAAATCCACTCTACTTCAACCCCTTTAGATAAATGATTTGGCACACAGCCACATTTCTCATCGAAAAAAAAAATAGGGAAAGAAAAAAAAACTGGTCACCAACCACACAGTCATTAGAAAATGATATCCCTACTTCCAATTCATAACTCATGACAAATGTTTGTTAATAAGGAAAGGTCAGTAGAAAAGGAAAAAAAAAAAAAAACTTTCTTCAAATTGAGAGAGTAAGACCATAAAAATGTACGTATGTAATAAAGGATTTTTTTGTTCCATGCAAGAGAGTTGGCAGTTCAGTCAGAGGCCAGTTTCATATGGCTCAAATTTGTTTAAGACATATAAACACGGAAGACTTATACTGGAGTTAAATTGCATATAAATATATATAATTTTTTTTCTGAAAAACCGGCACTTTTGGGAAATAGCAGTCAATTTAGTTAAGTAACTCCAGGTACGTAATTGGCACTTTTCCTTTCTGATTTCCTCTCTCACCCATTAGCCAATCAGAATCCATTCCAGGCATACTGTAAACGGTTATGACCTAGGAAATAAACAGAGACTTTTGTAAAAATTATCTAGTATGGAATACAGACTGTATAGATCATGGAATCAATGTCAGCAATCTAACTGGTTTTACCACGAAACATTTTACTTTAGAACATGTTTTAATAATGCATGAACACATCTGGTGGGGTGAGAATGTCATAAACGGGTTTAAGGACAAGTGTCCATTGTGTGCATTTTTGTAGTACTATATTTTCATACAATTTATGAAAATGTTTCTAGCACTGTAGAGGTTTGGAAACATAAACTAAGACAGAAAATAAATCCTAGAAGTACTGAGATTTTAGAGAGCATAAAATTAAACATTTTGAATTACAAAGACCTCACTTAAATTGACACACTATTGTTGCTGGTTCCAGACATGTATGTGAAGGCACCTATGCATAAATATCATGTTATATGTGTCATCTTTTTTGTAAAAACAATATGCATTCCATTGTGCAATGCTGTGTAATATGCTCATGCTTATATATTTCCATTATTTATATAACACCAACATATTTCACAATGCTGCACCATAGGTAAACAAGGCGCACAAAACACTAATAACATACAGGAACAGTATGTGAAGAGAGAGCTACTCAAACAAGTCTGCAATCTAAAAGGACGAGGGAGAAACACACAAAGGCAGGCTTCCCCAAACTCCGGCCCTTCAGATGTTGCTGAACTATAGCTCACATGATTCTCACCCTATCTATTTCATTCATAGAATCATGGGAGGTGTAGTTCAGCAACATCTGGAGGGCCAGAGTTTGGGGAAGCCTGCACAAAGGGAACTGAGTGATAGCTATTCACCTGAGTAATGGGGGGTGTGGGGGCTTAGAGGAGGGAGCACAGTAGATATGTAAAACATCCCAATTCTGTACTCCAAATTGCGATACCTGATTGAATACTATCCCATGGTATATTTAACAACATGAAGGTCTGAAAAAGGTAAATTTGTGCTTTATCCTGTAAAATTTCACAGGATAAATGAGAACACTTTATGTGCAATATTTAATTTTATGTGGAAAGTTGATTAGCTTGTCTAGTTGGAGCAGTGAGGTGTGTAACAGAAAATCTTACCTCATCCGCGAGAAGCGACAATTCACTGCTATTTGCAGCATCATAATCATAGAGAACTCTGGCCTTTCTGCTGCCGTTCGATGCTTTCAGTTCAATGAAGCCTGATGTAACTATAGAATTACTCATGTCAGGTAATGAAGCGCCGGCAGAGACTGAAGGAAGAGTAACACTTTGCATAGGCGTTAAGGAAGACTGATTATTGTTGGATGCAAACGTCGATGGGAAGCTGTTAAAACCAAACACATAAAATTACCATCAGATATTTCTTGCTGTGTTTCAAGGCAATCTCATTTAAGTAGAAGGTTTTAAACTAAAATAAAAATTGTTTTGTCAGGGAAAGAAAACAGGTGAGATGATTATGTGTGGATTATATCTGAAATAGACAGTTGAAAAAACAAAAGAAACAAAGAAAATAGTGGACATGCTAAGTGCACATCACATTCTCACCATTCATTTCCTTCAGGGGAAGGAAAGTTGCAAGATCACCTGTGAAAGGGACAAAGTAGGCAGAGCCTATTGGAGGTAAACACCAGATTACCTATCGAACAACAGGTGTTTGGGCCAGTAATGTATATGGTCAATAATATAAATATTCCAATTTGGGAATGACATTGTAAGTGAGCAGTATTGGTAATTTAAGAAGGACTTTTTTTTTTTTTTAATTATTTTTATTTTATTCATAATGGTCTGTTGGCTGTTAAGGTTTTTTGTTTAATTACCCTTTCGTAGCACCAGTCTCTATGAGAAAGCTTAGCTGAGAGTGTCCCATAGGAAGGTTAATGCAAATGTGTGGTAATTCAAAACCACAATATTTTCATATAGACATAGAAACCTAGAATGTGACGGCAGATAAGAATCATTCGGCCCATCTAGCCTGGCCAATTTTTTAAATACTTTCATTATTCCCTGGCCTTATCTTATAGTTAGGATAGCCTTATGCATATCCCACACATGCTTATACTCCTTCACGGTGTTAACCTATACCACTTCAGCTGGAAGGCTATTCAATGCATCCACTACCCTCTCAGTAAAGAAATACTTCCTGATATTTTTAAAACCTTTGCCCCTCTAATTTAAGACTATGTCCTCTTGTTGTGGTAGTTTGTCTTCTTTTAAATATAGTCTCATCCTTCACTATGTTGATTCCCTTTATGTATTCAAATGTTTCTATCATATCCCCCGTCTCGTCTTTCTTCCAAGCTATACATGTTAAGATCCTTTAACCTTTCCTTGTAAGTTTTATCCCGGCAGAGACTGAAGGAAGAGTAACACTTTGCATAGGCGTTAAGGAAGACTGATTATTGTTGGATGCAAACGTCGATGGGAAGCTGTTAAAACCAAACACATAAAATTACCATCAGATATTTCTTGCTGTGTTTCAAGGCAATCTCATTTAAGTAGAAGGTTTTAAACTAAAATAAAAATTGTTTTGTCAGGGAAAGAAAACAGGTGAGATGATTATGTGTGGATTATATCTGAAATAGACAGTTGAAAAAACAAAAGAAACAAAGAAAATAGTGGACATGCTAAGTGCACATCACATTCTCACCATTCATTTCCTTCAGGGGAAGGAAAGTTGCAAGATCACCTGTGAAAGGGACAAAGTAGGCAGAGCCTATTGGAGGTAAACACCAGATTACCTATCGAACAACAGGTGTTTGGGCCAGTAATGTATATGGTCAATAATATAAATATTCCAATTTGGGAATGACATTGTAAGTGAGCAGTATTGGTAATTTAAGAAGGACTTTTTTTTTTTTTTAATTATTTTTATTTTATTCATAATGGTCTGTTGGCTGTTAAGGTTTTTTGTTTAATTACCCTTTCGTAGCACCAGTCTCTATGGGAAAGCTTAGCTGAGAGTGTCCCATAGGAAGGTTAATGCACATGTGTGGTAATTCAAAACCACAATATTTTCATATAGACATAGAAACCTAGAATGTGACGGCAGATAAGAACCATTCGGCCCATCTAGCCTGGCCAATTTTTTAAATACTTTCATTATTCCCTGGCCTTATCTTATAGTTAGGATAGCCTTATGCATATCCCACACATGCTTATACTCCTTCACGGTGTTAACCTATACCACTTCAGCTGGAAGGCTATTCAATGCATCCACTACCCTCTCAGTAAAGAAATACTTCCTGATATTTTTAAAACCTTTGCCCCTCTAATTTAAGACTATGTCCTCTTGTTGTGGTAGTTTGTCTTCTTTTAAATATAGTCTCATCCTTCACTATGTTGATTCCCTTTATGTATTCAAATGTTTCTATCATATCCCCCGTCTCGTCTTTCTTCCAAGCTATACATGTTAAGATCCTTTAACCTTTCCTTGTAAGTTTTATCCCGCAATCCATGAACCAGTCTAGTAGCCCTTCTCTAAACTCTCTCTAAAGTATCAATATCCTTCTGAAGATACGGTCTCCAGTACTGCGTACAATACTCCAAGTGAGGTCTCGCCAGTGTTCTGTACAATGGCATGAGCACTTCCCTCTTTCTACTGCTAATACCTCTCCTTATACAACCAAGCATTCTACTAGCATTTCCTGCTGCTCTATTGCATTGTCTGCCTACATTTTAGTCATCTGAAATAATCACCCCTAAATCCCTTTCCTCAGATGTTGAGGTTAGGACTATATATAATATTCTGTACTCTGCCCTTGGGTTTTTACGTCCAAGGTGCATTATCTTGCACTTATCCACATTAAATGTCAGTTGCCACAGCTCTGACCATTTTTCTAGTTTACCTAAATTATTTGCCATTTGGTTTATCCCTACTGGAACATCAACCCTGTTACATATCTTAGTATCACCAGCAAAAAGACATACCTTACCATATGAAGGGTAAAAATGGGGGGGGGGCCATTAAGATAAGTGGCAGTTTGCCTATATTCTCCCTTTAATGGTCATTTCTCACATTTACACATGGTTTAGAATAGATACAAATATATGCTAATCTCTAGTGACAATACATGCACTACCAGCTTTCAGTACATTCATAAAAAATGACCGCCTTAAAAGTTTAAAAATAACCAACGTTTTTTAGAGGAATTACTAAGCAACAGCAGCACAGTTAAAAAAATCCATGATCCAAAGAGATGAAAATGAGGACTCTTTTCTGTGTGGAATTAGTTGCTGCCTTGAGTGCATATACTTACATCCTTGTTAAGTGTTTCTTAAGTGAAAAGATCAGCCATTGTTATCAGTAAAAAGGTTTACCTGCCAAGCTGCTTCTGGAGGTCCAGCATGTACTGATAACATTGTGCAAAATAAGTCATTTGGGCTTCCACAAAGTCATTCAGACAGCGAAGATGATGTGCCTGTATTGGATACATTAAGGTACAGGTTTGGAAATAATCATATTTGTATTCATATACAGCCATCAAGTCCTCCAAGAATTGATACTATACTAAAATCTACACTTGGCAAAAGAAACCAAATGTGGGTTATAGCATGGGTGGCCTCAACACAGATCCTTTTCCTTAAGTCTGGCAAAGTATCTTGGAAGTCATCTTTCTACAAGAATAGAGAAGCTAACTTTTGGCTGCTCATGGATTAGAAAGAGTCCAGTTAGCATGTTTATAGACAAAGTAAATCATTTATACTATATATGTATAAACATGAAATGGCTTTTTATCCTTTACATTTAAGGTGTGATTCTTTTATGGCAAATCACCTCTTAATTGGCGGTGTTTTCATCCCTTTCACATGACAACATTTACTTTTAGAGCTAAAATAATTACCTATAAAACTGTAATCTGCAGAGCTCGATAGTTTTTCTAGCTGCAGTAAAACCTTGCACAGAGAGTTAATGATGTTAACTCATGTTGCAGATGTTAGACTTTGCAATATAATAACACTATTCCTCAACTGAATGACCCTTTGCATCAGTTTTCTCTTTGACACCAAGTATTGTTCTATAATGTTCTACCTGGGACATACAAGAGTTTTCAAATTATTCAGCGTTCTATACTCAAAGGTAAAATAAGGCTTATCCAGTCTAAGCTAAGCTTTTAGTTTCATTCTGTCCAATTAAAATTCTATAGATGTTTCAAAGTTATCTTTAGTATTATTGCAATAATCTAGTGGCACAAATGAAAAGTGCATATTGCCACTGTATAGGGGCACACCTGACTGAAGAAATAAAAAGGACGACATTGCAATCTTCTGTGCTAAGTGGAGGCGCAGACTCGACATATCGAAAGACCCTATGGTCCTGACACAAGGTCACCAGTATACAGTAGAGAAGAAATACAAAAGAACCATGCACTCACTTTTCCTGAAAACCACAAAATACTTACATGTGTGCTACTTATTCCTTCTAACAGAAGTCTGGTAATTTCAGCCTGCCGGTCAAATTCACTTTGAGTGATTCGGAGCTCCTGTTCAGACTTGAAAAAGAAAATTTCAGTTATAAACATGATTCATCATGTGGATTTCTATATTAACTCAGTCACGAGGAATGTTCCCAAACTTAGCAATACTGGTCATATCACATATCCATGTTTTAACATATAGAATGTATGCAGTCAAACTGATCCTTCAAACTGTGGTTTCATAAGCTAAGACATGGTGCTTGCCATAAAGTTTGTACCGGTTTAGCATTTTCTAGCTGTATCAAAATACGTTTATAATTAAAAGTCATTATACAATGTGAAATATTTCTTAGTACAGGACTTGACATATTTGTTCAGAATCTAGGAGACAGTTTGTTTTTTTAAAACTAGTGAAGTTTAATTTACGAGAAATATCCAATTCTTAAATACAGCTTAATATAGTTGTTCAGGTGCCTACGGCCTGTCCGTGTAGCCTCTCCAATGTAAACGCTGCTGCCTTTTCAGAGACGCTGCTGCCTTTTCAGAGACTCTGCCTTTAGAATTTCATTCAATATACTTATTCAGTGCAGAACACAAGGGAAAGCTGTGATTTCACAGAAATGCATCTATTTCAATCTAAATGTAACATTATAATCCTTAAGTCAAAGTTTAAATAACGTATATTTTTATGGCAGATTTTCTTTAAGCATCACCATTTCTGTTATACATAAAACAATTATATATTTTTAAATCCCTTAAATCACAGTCCTTTTTGGTGGTGTAACACTTTGTATTACAGTCAAAGTGGTGCTCTGCAGTGATTCTGGGTGCCAGGAATCCCTTGAAGCTGTCCCACCTCAAGCAAATAGTTGATACATTTGTTTTGTTCTATTTGAACGCTTTAATAATTTCTTAATAGAAGACCTGTTTGCAGGCACCCAGTGGGTCTCTGGTAATTGCCAATTTAATACACAAAAAACATTATGACTAGTTATTGTGGGACTGCACCAGGGGACTTCTGGAACCATAACCACTTCTGTGCTGGGGAGTCGTTATGGTGCTTAGTATGCCACCTAAACAATTGTTCAGTTCGGTGCAAATGTGTGTGCAAATAATACAGCACAGAAGGTGTAGGTATCAAATGTCATTATAATAGAATATTGGAATATATTCACACCTTTGTTACCTCCTCGGTCCACATCTGATTAGCATTAAAATAAAATAAAAATATATAATACACAACTTAATATGAAGCCCATTGCTTTAACTAGTATGAACAATGTATGCTAAAAAAGCTAAATTACTACTGACAAAATAAATATATATATTTTATATATATATATATATATATATATATATATATATATATATATATATATATATATATATATTTTTTTTTTAAGACTATATGTGTGTTGTTATAAATATATTTTAAATGCAAATATAGGACAGACACTGCCACTTACTGAGGCAATGGGCAGGTAAAAGCTTTTAACGTCAATTGAATGACATCAACTACATCTTCCCAAAATCTTTAAATAAACGAGTTAGATTTTCCAGAAATGCAAGATCTGCAGATTATACACTTGGGTTAAAATGTCATGCTTGGTTTGTATCAGACTATGGTGTCTTATTTGAAAGAAAAACAGGATTGTATCTAAATAATGCAGCTGGAGAGAAATGAGGTTATCTAGGATAACACACACACAAACTCCTTTGTGGCACTAGACAAAAAAAAACCTGCAGCAATAAATTGAAAAAGGGAACTACCAGTGAACCAGAGCAGTCATTTAGGAACTAGATCGAGGTTACGGAAAGGCTTAATCCATATGTATTTAACCATTAAAGAGTGGTTGGGGTGAGCAGATCACCAACATGTAAAGACTCACGGCATCTCATAGTTTAGTGAATAAAGTTTAACGCATGAGCACAGAATTCCTTTTCAATTTGCATTGTTGCCATCATCGTAATCAACTGATTGTTCTACAGTGTCCTATCCTCTGGCAGCGTAAGAGTAATATCTAGCAGATGAACAAGATGGTGTAAAACGCAAACAGGAAAAATACCGATGGGATGAAGTGATGTTTGTATTTACTCTTTACAATCTGTAATTCATTTTTGAAAACAAAGCTGCAATGGTAACTACAGAGGCACTAGGAAATGTCATAAATGAACAAACGACAGACTATTTCCTCATTTACAGCTACATTTACAAAATATATGAAGATGTGAATTCTCTTGCAGTGGATACGGGAACCAATTAATTTTTTTTAATTTTTTTTACATATATTAATCATAAATAACAAAAATCTTGGTTTCCAATATAAAGAATTCATAATCTAAAACACATAAAAAAAATAAAAAAAATCAGCAACTGATAAAGTCCAGCAGAGACTGGTGTGGCAGATTTTAACATGTGCCTAATGGTTTAACATGCAAGAGAACCCACGATGGACAGAATGAGGTTTTGATGTAGGCCAACAAACCTTTAGCCATTTTACATGCAACACGCTGAGCATGTAAGACAAGTTTACCATAAAGCTGTTATCTCCTTCAGGCAGAGGGCTGTCTACTTGCTTAAGCACACACAGACAAAAGATATAAAGAATCCGTAAATATGCACAGTAAAACTTTTTTCTCAACACATCTAATGAAAAACAAAACATCTTAAAGGGACACTATAGTCACCAGAACATCTACACCTTAATGTAGTTGTTCTGGTGAGTAGAATCATTATATGCATGCATTTGCATGCAAACACTGCTTTTTCAGATGGCCACTGGAGGTGCTTCCTGGGTCAGTGCTGCACAGTAGGCAGCTCTGCCGTTCAGCGTCCCCACGCTCTGCATGTGGACGCTCAATTTTCTTCATAAAGATGCATTGATTCAATGCATCTCTATGAGGAGGTGCTGATTGGCCAAAATGGTGTTTTGCCCTGCCCCCTTGCCAATTTTAGCCAATCCAATGCTTTCCCCATGGGCAATTCTGATGACACCAATGGGGGCGGAGCCAGCTCCGGCAGACCTGCTCGGTGCTGGGAATAAGGTGCGTTTTATTAACTTTTAAGGGGGCTAAGAGGGGGAGGGGGAGTCAAGCCACCTAAATGGTGGGTTTTGCACTATAGGGTCAGGAATACATGTTTGTGTTCCTTACCCTATAGTGTTTCTTTAAAGTGGCAAAGTAAATAAATCCCTAACTTGTAACATTATTTACTATTTTCAAGTGGCTCTGTCATGGACTATGATGTATGTATATATATCCCTACCACTTCCTCAAACTCTATGTGTCCTAACTTCCCCCTATTGTCATTTTTTTGTCCACTTAGTCCCACCTGTTTACATTTTAGTCAACAATTTATCTTGGCGCCAGATCTTTTTTTTCCAGCCGCAATCTACCTCAGCCTGGCAGTGACACCAATTATTTGCCTTCTTTGACCCTCCCTCTCCATGCGCAACAAGTCAAGCGCATGACTACTGCTGTCTCTACTGTAATGGTCATGTGAACTTCACATATGTTAGTGTGACAGACATGACAGGCAAGCAGTCATTATGGTTAAACTTGTCTTGACAAAGGCAGTGGAACTTGAATTAAGCTCAGCCTTTCAGGTTTTGTCAAGCTGAAGAAAATACATAAGAAAAACTAGTTGAGGAATAATTAAACAGATGAGATGGGAAAAATGTCTTCCCCCGATGTAGTGAAGACACTTCTGGCAAGGGAAAGAGTTTAACACACACTTTGGACGTGGAAAAGTCTAATAAAGTTGTTCTAATTACTCATTATTAGTACATATTATGCATGAAAACATGCCACAACGGTAAAAGTACCAGGTGCAGGGAACTTTTTTCTTGGAGTCACGGGAGGTTTGGAGCCAGAAGACACCAAGTGCAAAGGTTTTTGTTGTTACATTGTTGTTTCCTTTCTTAAATGTGTATTTACCAATAACCATGAATTAAACTTAAGTGTATATAAAAAAAATGAATGATTCAAAAATCTGATTGCTTGTATGGGGTATGATACCTTTTCTAGAATGTATCTACTGCATCTATATTTTGCCTGTGCTTTTTACACATTAGAAACTGTATCTACACAACTAATCCAGGACTTTCCAATTGTTCACCACAAAATGCTGCAGATTGTCAGGTCAGCTGTTCAGTATACTTAACCACAAAGAACAGGCTGACATTTTTTTCCAGTCTTTTGTCAAAATTTCTACTTACTGCTGCTTTTGCTTCTGCAGTCCTGGCTTTTTTCAGGCGAGCCTTAGCTGCATCCAAATCCAGCCTTTTATTTTGCAACAATTTCTTCTCTCTCTGAGGTTCAAAAAGAAAGCAGACAGTGAAGTTTAAAATTACTGTGCAGTAACACAAACAGACAAGTGGCAGATAAGGAATTTTCAGCTACCTTTCAAAAATATTGCCTCTATAATAGAAATGGCATATTTAACGCATCCAAAAGTTATAAAAATGACAATGTTATAAAAGGTATGGAAAATAATGCTATTGTAACACTTCAGGTGTAAGTAATGTGAAGAGAAAAAGAGCATGCAATTTGCAAGCATGCTAGCTTGAGACATTTTGGCTACATTTGAAAGCCTTGTTTAAAGAAGAAAAAAAAATCATGTCCAGTGGCCCTGTAAGTCACTTCTTATAAAAAGAGGAGCTTTGCTAAGGCTGGTACAACTACCTTATACCATCCAAGTATCCATTATTTCTGTAACTCAGCATATGCATACCTTTTGCAGACAGTTGGTAGCAAAGGTATTCTTTGATCTTCTTGCACAGAAGGCCCAAGAACAGCCAACCACCCCATAAGGCAGGCACAAAATCAGCTATACGCTAAAGGCACAGTAGGCACCTGCCTACCTGTATGAGGAAACCCTTATCTTCGTGCTCTGGCAGCAAAGATACCTCTCACACGCCCTGCAGTGTTGCCAGGAGCAGGGATATCATGTCACTCCTGTCGGCCTAGGCTTCACTGAAGGGAGCACTGCTGGAAGAACATGAAGATCAGAGCAGCCCCAGTAGACATAAGGCAGTGCAGGAGGACTAAAGATCTAAGTGACTTTGACAAGGACTAGGTGACTGGGTCGGAGCATCTCCAAAACGACAGGTCTTGTGGGTATTCCTGGTATGCAGTGGTTAGTACCTACCAAAGTGTGAAGGCTAGCCTGTCTCTTCCCCTCACACAGAAGAGCTACTGTACCTCAAATTGATTTAAAAAAACAAAACAAAAAAAAAAACCTTAATGATGGCCACGATAGAAAGGTGTCAAAACACGCAGTGCAACTAGTTTGCTGCATATGAGCGTACATAGTCACAGGCCGATCACAGTTCCCATGATGACCCCTATCCACAGCCAAAAGCACCTTCAATGTGTGAAGCGAGCGTCAGACGTGGACTATGGAGCAATGGAAGAAGGCTGCCCGGTCTGATGAATCACGGTTTCTTTTAGACCAGGTGGATGTACAGGCGCGTGTGCGTCTTTTACTTGGGAGAGAGATGGCAGGCTGGAGGAGGCAGTGTTATGTTCTGGGCAATGTTTTGCTGGGAAATCTTGGGTTCAGATATTCATATGGATGATACTTTGACACATACCACATAGCTATAGATTTTTGAAGACCATGTACACCCTTTCATGGCAATAGGGTTACCTGATAGAAGTAGCCTCTTTCAGTAGGATAATATACCCTGCCACACTGCAAAAATTGTTCGTGAATGTTTGAGGAACAAGAGATGGTGCTGCCTCGGCCTTTAAATTCCTCAGAACTCAATCTGTGGGATGTTTTGAAATAACAAATACGACCCATGGAGGCCCACCTCGTAACTTTCAGGACTTAAAGGGACACTCCAGACACCCAGACCACTCCTGCCCATTGGAGTGGTCTGGGTGCCAACTCCCACTACTCTTAACCCTGCAACTGTAATTATTGCTGTTTTTTATAACCTGCAATAACTACATTGCAGGGTTAACTCCACCTCTAATGGCTGTCTACTAGACAGCCACTAGAGGGCACTTCCTGCTTCATAGCAAAGATTTTCTTTGCTAGAGCGTCGCTGGACGTCCTCACGCTGTGTGAGCGTCCAGCGTCGCTCAATTCCCCATAGGAAAGCATTGAAAATCATTTTCAATGCTTTCCTATGGGGAGACCGAATTAGGTTTCCTCAGCAGGCGGCGGGATCAGTCTCGCCCACTGGCTGACGTAATTACTGGGAGGAGCGACGCCAACCCGAAACCACCGCCGAGGGACATCGGCGGGATCTCAGGTAGGTGACCTGAAGTGGTTTTCACCCCTTCAGCTACCTGGGATGGGAGGTGGGAGGGAGAGGGTACCTGCAGTGCCAGGAAAACGGATTGTTTTCCTGGCACTAGAGTTTCCCTTTAATAAGGATCTGCCAGATACCACAAAACACGTTTAGAGGTTTTGTGGAGTCCATGCTTCGGCGCATCAAAGTGTTGGCAGCACAAGTGGGATCTACATATTATTAGACAGGTGTTTTTTTGTGTTGTGGCTGATCAGTGTGTGTGTGTGTGTGTGTGTATGTATATATATATACACATACATATATATTATACATACACATACACACATATACACAAAGCATAAATATGTACATGCATATAATATTAACAAATGTGCCTTATATTAAAAAGTCTATATAAAAAAAACTGTATATTAAATAGCACTAAATGACATCTGTACATTATGTTAGTAAATGTATAGATTTTATGGTCCCTCCTTTACCTGTCAATGAATCTTGAACATTAGACTGGTGTGCCAGATGCACACAGGATCTAATGCCATATATTGAGTGACAGGTGGTCCTCTTGCTCCCTGACACGGTGTTACTCGCCAGTAGGAATTTCCTACTTCTGCTGGGGGAGTAAAGGATGCATTGATGACAATGTCCTGGCAGTGAAGCCAGTATGATCGCATCAGCACAGAGGATAGCTCTGTTGGGGACATGTCCGCAAGCAGGGCATATAACTCCACACTAACATGCAGCAAACTCCCATATACAGTCACACTCCACCAACTCCAACATACATATGTTTCTCAGCCAAGCCCCGCACAATCACACTCAGCCAAGCCCCACGCAGATATACTGCTAAGGGGGAAGCAAAAAGGGGCGATAAGGGGGCCCCCCTTCTTTGATTCTTGCCATGAGACCCGTGGTTCCTAGTTACGTCCCTGTACAGAATAGAAGAGATCAGATATTTGGTAACAAAGTGAGTTTGGAATGAGCAATTTTCAATCACATAATACTTTGCTTAACTAGCAGAAATGTATAGGTACTTAAACTTAAAAGGGCACAGCAGGCAACTAAGCATTCGGTTCAGCATCTGGCTTAGGTTACAACTGGGTATAAAGTGTTTTGTTTCTTTTATAAAAACGTTTTGCTTCGTAAGGCTGAGTCAGCCTGACCCATTGAAAAAAACGTGCTCGGTGAAATAATTTATATTTCATGTCATTATCCTAAATCACCCTCTCTCTAGGCTTCAGATCATACTCTCGTGATCTTTGATGCCACTGATGCTTCTCTCTCGCTCTTTTCTACTCCAAATTACACATATTTACGACTCGCAGGCTTTCCTATGTCCCAGCCACAAATGATGAACTAAAAAACACTTATAAATAATTTTAATGCCAGTGTGCTTTTCTTTCTATGAAAACGAGAAAAGGGTTCAATAAATAGAGACATTGTTTTCTTTCCCTGTAATTGGTGACTAGGGGATTTCTTTCTTCTCACCATGTGACATAGTGATAGTAAGAAAGTCAACAAAAAGCCACAAATAACCAATTCTGGAATCTTCAAAAACCCACCCATGAGAGTTTATTATCCATAGCACTTGTAACTGGAAGTTGCATTAAGGTATTTATGTGTGCTTAGTATTGGCTTAAGAATACTATTCATTGTGAAATATATTATCTTAATTGATAATCGGTTAACAATGTAAATCACCAGATATTTAGACTGTATACCTGCTCAATTCACTCCCTTTCTGAAAATTACCACACAATGGAAACTGCTATTTCATTAAAAATCATGATCCAATATCAAACAAACAGGCAGAGGAAAACCATTGACAGCTTTATGAGATACACATGCATAGATTTATTTTATACTTTAAATGAACACTCCAATCCACGCATCCACTGACCATCTCAACCAATGTGCTAAGCCCTGAACGGTCTAGGAACCTCAGTGGTGGGGGGAGAGGTGCCCAGCCTACCTTAGGTAACAAGATAAACCATTTAAAACTGGTTTGATTACTTACAATAGGGGCATGCCAGGGCACTCCTGGCACCATAACTAGGGATTGACCGGTATTGATTTTTTTTTAGAGCTGATACCGATACTTATAATCTGTTAACTTTCAGGCCGATAGCCGATAACTTGCCAATATTCTGTACATTTACCATTTTGAAAAAATAAACTAATTCTAAAAGGTAAATGCACAAAATATACATGCCACATGTAGTGGATGAAGTGTGTGTAGTGGATGCAGTGTGTATTTGTTTAGTGTGTGTATATAATGAATGCAGAGTGTGTTTGTGTAGTGTGTATAGTGAATGTAGTGTGTTTGTGTAGTGTGTATAGTGAATGCAGAGTGTGTGTTTGTGTAGTGTGTATAGTGAATGCAGAATGTGTGTTTATGTAGTGTGTATAGTGAATACAGTGTGTGTGTTTGTGTAGTGTGTGTATATAATGCAGTGTGTGTAGTGTGGGTAAAGTGAATGCATTGTGTGTGTATATAATGCAGTGTGTGTATATATATATATATATATATATAATGCAGTGTGTGTGTGTGTTTAATGCAGTGTGTGTGTGTATATAATGCAGTGTGTGTGTATATATAATGCAGTGTGTGTGTGTGTGTGTATATATAATGCAGTGTGTGTGTGTGTTTGTGTAGTGGGAACATAATGCTGCAAGCCCTGGTGGTCCAGTGGTGGCATGTTCGCTTTAGCCTGCAACTCCTCCAGCTTTAGGCTGACTCTCCTGTCCTCCTGTGAGCACAGCACTGTATCGGAACGTTGCCATGGTAGCATGTGGCAACGCATCAACCAGCCTGCTTGCGGGAGGAACCCAGAGCCTCCCAGGTTCTTCCCTCTGCTGAAACGAAGTGCTAGCAGGCCGTTGAGGGAGATCTTTCATCTCCTCACCAGCTCAAGAGGGCTTACAGCAAGGCTGGCTCTGCATTGGCTGGCAGGGGAGATGGGAGGTAGGGATCAGGTTGACTACCACTGCTTTAAATCAATGGCATACTAAGAGGGGGACAGCCCGCCACAGGTGCCACTTAATAGGAGGGAGCCATTCAAGAACGGACTGAATGGCACTATGGCCAGGTGGCGCGTTCTAGGGTTGACGACCAAAAGGGGAGAGCACTGAACAATGCTACCAGCCTGCCAGACACGGCATGTAGCGTGGCCAAGCAGACGAACCGCGGAAGAGGAACTTCTGTATCCCCCTACCCAGTCTGACAGCTAGTGCTCACAGAGTAACTAACAGCTTCCAGTCAGACTGGGTACATGAAAGAGAGGCTTCTATACTTAGGCTGTGTTCTATGTGCTAGGGTTTGACTCATAAATAAAGAACAATGTTGTCAAGCACTGGTTTATACACAGGATATGCTTTTGGTTACCCTTAACACTACCACGAATTCCAAGCAGTTAAATAAAGGAAGCTACCACCAGACAAAGTGGCGACATATGGTACCATGTACTAGCATCAACCTATTATACTGCAAAGGCTGGTGCATACTTACAGCCATAGTTTTATAATCTCCTTCTATAAAATTTCTCAGGGGAGTCAGGAAGTTTATAGCTGAGGTTTGTACAAGTTCTCTGTGAGCCCCTCCTATTCTTCTCTGGGTTTCTCCGCATTTAACGAGAGCATTTCCTGCAACACAAACAGAATTTTTTTTTTTTTTTTTTAACACAAACTGTTCCTCAATTAATAACAGCTTGTAAATCAGATTTCACATTTCAAGTGTACACAAACAAGCTGAATAGATTAATGTCAAGTTACCCAATAATGAAGGGGGGGTGAAAATAAAATAGCTGTCTTCTGATACTCTCTGCAGATTTTTCCACTATACTTATGGAAAGCTTAGCCAACAGATTACGCATATGCAATAAATATCGTTTTTCATGCTTATGACTCAATGTTTGTATACCAAGTGTATTGACATAAGATGATTCCAGTTTTATGCAGAATTTAAAACAATATAATTAAACTCTGTGTACCAAAGCAAGTTTGCAATGAAGAAATGAAAAAGGTATTGGTACAAATGTTCACTTTTAAAATCTTGTCCTTCTTCCTTGGTTTCTTCACAGCCCATCCTTCTCCTTACCTTTTACCAGGGAGGGGGGACAGAATGCGTAACACCTAAATAATAGAATTTTTTATTTTTTATTTCACCAAACGTGACAGGACAGATGTCTCCACCAAAGTGTTAGCCTTTCTTCCACAATAAAATATGCTTTCCTATGTAGATACTGAACATTATATTGCAGAAATCAAAAAATATATTACTTTTAGATAAGTCAAAAGAAGTAACGCTGCTTATGCAACATTAACATATACTGTGTAGGCGGTGCTAATCTTTCCAGCTGTGTGCGGTTTCTGCAATGCCAGAACTTACCATATGCTGTTCCTGGTCCAAATTCATTCCCAGCATCAATCATATACTGAGCCAGTTGCTCTTGATTATTCAGGCGACTTGGTGCTTTTCTTTCAAGCTTCTCATACACAAACTCTTCTATTCTTGCATCTTGGAAATGAGGAGGAAAAGCAACCAGTTTAAAAAAAAGTCACCAGTGTAGAGAGTACTTTCATATTAGCACATTTTGTGTAACTCTATAAAAAGAAAGACTAATTAGAAATAGAATTAGGTTTCGGTATGCAGTACTGTTCTCGATTAGTAATAAGATGTGCTGGTCCTCTTTTTTTATTTTTTATGTGTGATTGTCTCGTCATGCTCACAACATACAGTATACATTACAAAAGTTGTACAGTCCAAAAAAACAATTGTGAAACATTCTGAGTACCTCTCAGTATTCTGTAACATTACCACTGTTCCAGTTGTCAAGACATATCACAGTTTTATATATAAATTGACCAAGAAAAATGGGATTATTTAAAAGTTGCACTATTGAAGGCAACAGAAAATTGCATTAGGCTTGTCAGTAAAAGCAAAAAATTCAAGAAACCACTGTGGTACTCCGCAGATGTGGCCAAAATAGTTAAAAACAAAAAGTTAGCATTTAGGAATTATAAAAAAACCCAGAGTGAGGAAGACAAAATGATCTATAAGATTAGGCAGAAAGAGGCTAAGCAAGTTATAAGAGCTTCCAAATCACACACAGAAGAGAAAATAGCACAGTCAGTAAAAAAGGGGGATAAAACATTTTTTAGATACATAAATGAGAAAAGAAAAGTAAAACAAGGATTAGTTAGATTAAAAACAAAAGAAGGAAGGTATGTAGAAGAGGATAAAGGTCAGGCTGACTGCCTCAATGAATATTTTTGTTCTGTATTTACAGAAGAAAATGAAGGAAAGGGACCTCAGTTGAGAAAAAGGATAAATGAGTCATTTATTACACGTGAGTTTACAGAGGAAGAGGTTCTATTTCAACTGTCAAAAGTAAAGACAAATAAGTCAATGGGACCTGATGGAATACACCCTAAGCTATTAAAAGAGCTTAGTGGTGTACTAGCAAAACCATTAACAGATTTATTTAACCAATCATTGTTAACAGGAGTAGTCCCAGAAGATTGGAAGTTAGCGAATGTTGTGCCCATTTACAAGAAAGGTAATAGGGAGGAGTCGGGCAACTATAGGCCAGTAAGCCTTACTTCAGTAGTGGGGAAAGTGATGGAAACCATGTTAAAGGATAGGATTGATGAACATCTAAAAACACATGGATTTCAAGATCAGAGACAACATGGGTTTACTTCAGGGAGATCATGCCAAACTAATCTTATTGATTTTTTTGATTGGGTAACTAAAACTATAGATCAGGGTGGTGCAGTAGACATTGCTTACCTAGATTTCAGTAAGGCTTTTGACACTGTTGCACATAGAAGGCTTATCAATAAACTGCAATCTTTAAGTTTGGATTCAAATATTGTTGAATGGGTAAGGCAGTGGCTGAGTGACAGGCAACAGAGGGTTGTAGTTAATGGAATATATTCGAAGCTTGGACTTGTCACCAGTGGGGTACCTCAGGGATCTGTACTTGGACCCATTCTCTTTAATATTTTTATTAGTGATATTGCAGAAGGTCTTGATGGTAAGGTATGTCTTTTTGCTGATGATACTAAGATATGTAACAGGGTTGATGTTCCAGGAGGGATAAGCCAAATGACAAATGATTTAGGTAAACTAGAAAAATGGTCAGAATTGTGGCAACTGACATTTAATGTGGATAAGTGCAAGATAATGCATCTTGGACGTAAAAACCCAAGGGCAGAGTACAGAATATTTGATAGAGTCCTAACCTCAACAATTGAGGAAAGGGATTTAGGGGTGATTATTTCTGATGACTTAAAGGTAGGCAGACAATGTAATAGAGCAGCAGGAAATGCTAGCAGAATGCTTGGTTGTATAGGGAGAGGTATTAGCAGTAGAAAGAGGAAGTGCTCATGCCATTGTACAGAACACTGGTGAGACCTCACTTGGAGTATTGTACACAGTACTGGAGACCGTATCTTCAGAAGGATATTGATACCTTAGAGAGGGTTCAGAGAAGGGCTACTAAACTGGTTCATGGATTGCGGGATAAAACTTACCAGGAAAGGTTAAAGGATCTTAACATGTATAGCTTGGAGGAAAGACGAGACAGGGGGGATATGATAGAAACATTTAAATATATAAAGGGAATCAACACAGTAAAGGAGGAGACTATATTTAAAAGAAGAAAAACTACCACAACAAGAGGACATAGTCTTAAATTAGAGGGACAAAGGTTTAAAAATAATATCAGGAAGTATTACTTTACTGAGAGGGTAGTGGATGCATGGAATAGCCTTCCAGCTGAAGTGGTAGAGGTTAACACAGTAAAGGAGTTTAAGCATGCATGGGATAGGCATAAGGCTATCCTGACTATAAGATAAGGCTAGGGACTAATGAAAGTTTTTAGAAAATTGGGCAGACTAGATGGGCCGAATGGTTCTTATCTGCCGTCACATTCTATGTTTCTATGTTTCTATTAAACAATAACATAAGTCTACAAACCAAGTTACTCTTAAGTTGTGGTACCGCTTACATTCTTTTATGTAGCCATTTGTCAATGTATTACCCCGGTTAGGGTCATGTGACATGTCCCATATAGTATAGCAGGACCATATACCAGCCCTGGGCCTACTCACTTGCTTTATTATGTGCTGTTTTCTCAATGCTTTCCTATGGACGCTCTGCGCAATGGAGGCAAAATGTGCCTCCAGCGTCGCACATGCACCTCTAGTGGCTGGAAGACAGCCACTAGAGGCTGGATTAACCCCAAATGTAAACATAGCAGTTCCTCGGAAACTGCTATGTTTACAGCTGCAGGGTTAAAACTTGAGGGACCTGACTATAGTGTCCCTTTAATTTCAGAGGGAGTGTGTCCCCAGGGTTTAGGGTTGAGGGATGTGTAGGCCAGTCGCATCTTACCTATTATTTCTGTCTCAGTCTTATGTGGCTGTTACGTTTACTAGGTCGCTATTGTTCCACGGTTCCCACAGTTTTTCAAATTTAGTCATTGATCGCCGTACCCGGGCCGTTAAGCTGTCCATGAGGTAGACCTCTTATACTAGAGCAGGGGTTCTCAACGTTAGTCCTCAGGACCCCCTACCAGTCCAGGGTTTAGGGATTACCTGGGTGTGTCTAAGGTGTTTAGAAAAAAAAATAAAAAAAAACACCTTAGAGTCCAAGGTGTTTTTTCCCCTTTTTCTAAACACCTGAGACACACCCAGGTAATCCCAAATCCTGTACTGGTAGGGGGTCCTGAGGACTGGGTTGAGAATAGGGATCGACCGATATTGATTTTTCAGAGCCGATACCGATACCGATATTCTGTGAACTTTCAGGCCGATAGCCGATATAATTTGCCGATATTCTGTACATTTACCATTTTGGAAAATAAAAACTATTTCTAAAGGTAAATGCACAAAATAGACATGCCACGTGTAGTGGATGCAGTGTGACAGGGGAGCTGTGTGTGTTTGTGTAGTGTGTGTGTAGTGGATGCAGTGTGTGTTTGTGTAGTGTGTGGGTTATGGATGCAGTGTGTGTTTGTGTAGTGTGTGTGGAGGATGCAATGTGTGTTTGTGTAGTGGATGCAGTGTGTATTTGTCTAGTGTGTGTAGTGGATGCAGTGTGTATTAGTGTAGTGTGTATATAATGAAAGCAGAGTGTTTGTGTAGTGTGTGGGTAGTGTGTGTAAAGTGAATGCTGTATATACTAAATGCAAAGTGTGTGTGTATATAATGAATGCAGAGTGTGTGTGTATTTGTGTAGTGTCTGTATAGTGAATGTAGTGTGTTTATATAATGCAGAGTGTGTTTGTATAGTGTGTGTATATAATGCAGTGTGTTTGTGTAGTGTGCATTATATAAACACATTACACAAACACACTGCATTATATACACACACTGCATTATATACACACACACTACACAAACACTGCATTATATAAACACACTACACAAACACACACTGCATTATATACACACTACACAAACACACTGCACAAACACACTACATAAACACACACCGAATTATATAAACACACTACACAAACACACTGCATTATATACCCACACTACACAAACACACACTGCATTATATACACACACTATACAAACACACACTGCATTATATACACACACTGTACAAACGCACACTGCATTATATACACACACTGTACAAACACACACTGCATTATATACACAGTGTGTTTGTGTAGTGTGTGTATATAATGCAGTGTGTGTTTGTGTAGTGTGGGTATATAATGCAGTGTGTTTGTGTAGTGTATGTGTATATAATGCAGTGTGTGAGGGGGCATTTTTTATTAAATTATTAAAAAAAAAAAAATTATATTTACTTAATTATTATTTATTTTTGTTGTCCCCCCTCCCTGCTTGTTACCTGGCCAGGGAGGGGGGATATGACAGTCCCTGGTGGTCCAGTGGTATTGGCTGAGCTTTGGGGGGGCGGAGAGCAAGCGCTTACTCACCTGCCAGCAGCTCCTCCAGCTCCCCAGTGCAACTCTCGCGGCCAGCGTGTCGCGCGGAGCGTTGCCATGGTGATCCATGGCAACGCTCTGACGGCCGCGGGTCTCGCGAGAGTTGCACTGGGGAGCTGCTGGGAGGTGAGTAAGCGCTTGCTGCCCGCCCCCCCAGGACCGCCGGGCTTGTAATGAGCCCGGCGGTCCCTGGAGGTATTATCGGCAATATCGGTATCTGAATTGGCCGATACCGATATTGCCGAGAATACCGAATATCGGCCGATTATATCGGTAAAACCGATAATCGGTCGATCCCTAGTTGAGAACCCCTGTACTAGAGAGTACAGTCTTCAATGAAGGCCTGTCGACCTGTAGCCATGACTGTGCAAATGCTCTCCTAGCTGCTAAAGTCACTTTGTGAATCAGTTTTTTTACTTTTTTCATCCAGTCTTCTAAGGGCTTGTTCGACAGGTATGTCCAAGGGTTTAAGTCAGGTGTTCTATGGAAGATCTTTGAGATTATATTATGCATCTCTTTCCAAAATGATTGTATCTCGGGGCAGTCCCACCACATGTGGAGGTATGTGCCTCGAAGGCTGCATCCTCTCCAGCAGTCGTCATCCGGTGTCTGTTTCATTTCACATAGTTTGACCAGAGTGGTATACCACCGAAACATCATTTTATACAATTGTTCCTAGAGGGATATGCAAATGAATACCAAACTATTTGCCTCCCAGATTTCCCTCCATCCCACGCCTTCTAGCTCCTCCCCCAGGGCTTTCTCCCATATTTCTGTGTAAGTTAGTATGCCCCATTCCTCTGTTTCATTACAGATGTGTGAGTATAACAGAGTGAGGAGGCCTGGCTGTGTGGATTAGTTTAGGCACATTTTCTCATAGATAGTAATCGGCCCAGTGGCTGCTTTTTGTATGTGTGGGTGGTGTATGTAGTCTTTGAGTAGCGGGTATCTAAGAAAGTCCGACGGAGTGAGATGGGCTGTTTTAGGTGGTCGAACGGGACTATAGTGTTGTTCTCGAACACATGGCATATCGTCTGTATTCCCACTTTCTCTAAATTCCTAAAGTCCCTTGCTGTTAGGCCCGGGGGGAAAGCACTATTTCTCAGCAGTGAGGTCAGAGGCGACGGATTTGATGCTAATTTATATTTGTGACCCCCGAAGGGAGTTTAGGATCGCCGTATATGTTGTACGGAGGACCGGCCTATAATCTATGGGTACCCACATATGGTATTGGGGTAGGTCTGCACCCGTCATGAGGTACTCTAGATCTACCCACCTCCTCTCCTCTAATGGTGCATGCCACATTGCCACTTGGGCTAGTTGTGGTCCTCTTTTTTGACCTTGTTAAAGGTGGATTATTCCCTTAAAATGTCCCCTTAAACATACCTTCCTCCTAGTGTTTCCTTTTCTCTTTTTTCTTTCTGATCTATTTCTCTTTAAAACAAGTCAAAGCAGGGACTACTTATGTATTTTTCTACACTTGTCAATTTAAAAAGGAGCAGTATGTGGGAATAAAGTGCAAGAGACAGTGCAGGCTTGCCACTCCAAGATAGGGATCACTCCCAATCCCAATAACAATATAAATAGATAAATATATAGTATAGTTAAAAAAACATATACATATACCAGTGTGGGCGCCACAATCACAAGCGTATGAATATATATGCAGACAGATGTAACCATGTAAAGAGATAAAAAATAAAGTATATAGTGAAGTATTTAATAACATTTAAAAGAATGATAAATACAAATATATAAACTCACAAATGTAGTGGCACAAAAAGTGTCTCAATTGTGCTAAAAGAGCTTGTCAGCCCCTTCCTGGGCTAAGTTCCCTTTATATATGGATCAGGCTTCCCAGACCTCAGTTGGTAATAGTGGGTCTTCTCTCAGAGGAGCCTTAGGGTTGTATGATCCAAAATGTTTCTGTGGGGATGCTGGCAGCTGTATATCCGCTCAACGCGTTTCGTCCTGTGGACTTTGTCAAGAGCTGTGTGTCCATTATTCTTCCAGCTTTTTAAAGCCTCAAATTACTAAAATTACTATTATAAAAATTACTATTATAAAAATTAATATGGTGAATATTTTTTTATGATGAATCTTGTATAATTTTTTACATTCTTTATAATTTTTATAACTGCCTGTTTGATATTTTGTTCTGTGTTGATACAGAATATAGCATAGACATGATATCATATAATATGTCCCTTTATGTTTTTTTCTTTCCTTAGTATATTTGGAATTTTTAAATGTGTAATGTATGTATTTTCATTATTATAGGTATGTTTGAGGTGACAGAGCCAACTCATTTTTTTCCTTAGTTTTGCATTTAATGTCGAACAGCTAATTTAGCCTAGTTTTTGCAATTTGTTTTTTAATTAAACTACAACTGCACTTTAGTAGTAAACAAAAAACTATGAACATAGATTGCAAATAGTTTAATAGCTCATGAGGTCAATTAGGGATACACCAAAACAATGGGTTGCCTAGGTCATAATGTGTTTTATATGTCAGTAAGTATATCTGACTCTGGACACATTAAAGGAACACTACAAGCAGGCTGTAGTGGTTATGGTGCACGGAGTGTTCCTTTAAACCAGTGCATCGTATTGAAGAGGTTATGGTGCAGATTCTGTCCCTTTTTTTAAACAATGTACAACATTGCCTTTTTTTCTGAAACAGCAATGTTACCACTTGTCTGAAACCATAGCTTTAGAGACTTTCAGATCAGATTAACATTAACATATTAATTAGAGGCTCTTTTTTCTTAAGACTTTTGAAAGTCCAAGGTCTTTTCATTTAGCATCATCATGACCAGGACAATAATGCAGAACACAATCCTAAGCTTCTCTATGAGGAGCATCCGATTGTTGGGAGTCTGGCAATTGCCACACATGCATTGTAGGTCCCTAATGCTTCTTCATAAGACTGGATAAAAGTAATCAACTAGAATAACTTCACTGAATGTGAAGATTGCTTCTAGTGGGAATCACACAGGAAAACAATGGAATGGTACTGAAAAAACACATTCTGCCAATTAATGCATTTCTATGTGTAGCGTTCAGTGTCTCCATACAGAGTATGGCGACGCTGGACTGAATGTAGGTGCTGCATACTGTGATAGAAAGCCCCTCTTGTGGCCATCTGAGTGACTGCCACAAGAGGTGTTACTAGGCAGCAATGAAAACACTGCCTTTTCTCTGAAAAGCCTGCAGGGACATGCTATGGACATCAGAACCTCTACATTAAGCTGTAGTGGTTCTGGTTACTACAGTGTCCTTTTGAAAGGACACTACACTACCCAAAGTAAAAAAAAAACCAAAAAAAAAAAAAAAACAACATACAAGCATTTAATTGCTTTTTTTTTATTCCAAATATACCTACATACAGATGGCAAAATCTGCAGTTCTCTTGTCTGAAGCCTTTGCAAGTCCTCCCTTTCTAACGCCTCCTAGACTTTTCGGCAGCTGTCCAATTCTCAATGCAGCTCAATGAGAAGTTTTTGCAAGGTAGGTACTCAGGGCAATTGCCTGCTTCTTGAGCTTAGTCCCATTGAGTTAAACAACCATGAACTAACAGGACCAGTTAACTGCTGGCATACTAAATGCAATTTTAGAAAAGTGCCAATTTCTACAGGAATCTGCACTTTTTGTGAAATAGATTACACTCTTTACATATAAAGCACTCTATAGAGCTGAAGAGCTTTATGTGTCTGGAGTGCCCCTTTAAATTAATAAACATGTGAGCCTCTGGTTTTCCTTTTGCAGAAAAAAAAAAATCTAAGAAAAAAAAAAAACCTTACTTGGATTTGGCTGTAATAAGACCTCGGTCTGCTTCATTACTTTTTCAGTCCAAAGTTTTGTACTGTCCGCCTTGGCAAGAAGGTTCTCTAAGTGTGCATCCAATTCAGTCTTCTCTGCCTGGCCAAGCTTCTCTTCTGTGAACTGTTAGATGACAAAAAAAGGGATGAGACGCATATAATACATATACTGCCATAAACACATGTAACCAGCAATAGATAATATGACTTTATGGATGTCAGAGAAAATAGTTTGTAGGTAAACTGTTTTTCAAAGGATTAAATTTAGCAGGTAAAACGTATGCCCTAAAATAAAAGCAATTCTGATTAAAAAACAAACAAGAAAATAAAACCCTAAGCTCCGGTTTAAAAACAGTAAATAAAATAATATGATTTGATAACACTGAGAAAATAAAATATTATATAAGATAATACATCCCGTGGTATTAAAATAACATTAAATACAATCCCTAGAGTCTGCCTGCACATCCCAGTCCTAAACATCATCATATATATCCACCTCTAAATTACCTGAACTAGTCCACAGCAGAGGGGTATGGCTTCAGGTGACTACAGTCTAAGTTCAAAAACAGATGGACACAAATCTGAGGGATCAGAGCCCAAGGACTCTGTAAGGGACACTCTAGGCACTCTAACCAATTCATCTCATTGATTATGTCATAGTGCCTGGTATCCACTGGCGCTGTCCCTTTTTTGAGTAGTTTAACACTGAATAGGGGTCGCTGGCTAAGGCAGAGATTACATACTTCAATGAAGCCATCCCAATTCATATCTGAATTGTCAAAGTAATAAGCTGAATGTGGTCAGCTGACTCTCAGCCAATCACAGCCACCAATTGCTGCTCAGGCTCATACTTCCACCATAGTCCAAGCAACACAGATGGGATGGATTGCTGGGGACTATTGTTTAGCATTACACATGAAAAAAAATTGTTTAATGCTGAATGGAAGGACTGCACAAGGGAACACCAGACACTATAACCACTTAAATGAGATGAAGTAGTTATGATGCCAACATTGTTCTTTTAACAACACTCATTTAGATATGAACATTAACATAGGCACTTTAGGGTCTCTAACTGCAAATATCCAGCTCTGTCTTGTGTCCAAAGAATATAAACAAATGGTAATGATTAAAAGAAAATGTATATAAGGATTTATCAGTTATTTTCCCAAGTTACTTTAATCCATACGGTTTTCCTATAAGAAAGAGCAATGTTGGAGGAATAGGGGAGAGACTTTAGTGTCGAGAAGATCTGTGTTTTTGGTCAGAAAGTGGAGGGACTGCACACATAGCCTCTTTGCACAATAACACCATTTTAAACCATAGTGGTTGGTTATGGTGCTTGAAGAGTCCCCTTTAACCCCAACCACTACAGGCCCACGATTGGCTACCAATGCTTGGGTCTCCTCTTACTGGCACACACTATGAATCCTAATCATAAAAGAATATGATCCCCAACTAATCTTCCTCTTGCGTGCTGCAAAAATGCAAGTTAATATACGAATAAGCAATGCATTACAAACATCAGAATTAAAAATTTTAATTAAGGGACACTATAGGGTCAGGAACACGTTCGGGTTAAAAACACAATCTCCCCCAAAACAGAGGTGTCAATACCTGCCATAGATTTAGTTAAAGGACCACTATAGTGCCAGGAAAACATACTCGTTTTCCTGGCACTATAGTGCCCTGAGGGTGCCCCCACCCTCAGGGACCCCCTCCCGCCCGGCTCTGGAAGGGGGAAAGGTAAAAACTTTTCCAGCGCTGGGCGGGGAGCTCTCCTCCTCCTCCTCCCTGTCGGCTGAATGCAAGCGCAAAGAGCTGCACGCGCATTCAGCCGGTCACATAGGAAAGCATTTACAATGCTTTCCTATGGACGCTTGCGTGCTCTCACTGTGAAAATCACAGTGAGAAGCACGCAAGCGCCTCTAGAAGCTGTCAGTCAATTATACTAATTAGCAGTAATTGATTGATTGATTTCTTAGTTGTTAGTGTTTGTTATATAAGCACATTTTGCACCATGTGGTGTCAGCTTGAAAAAGACCTTTCCGGTCGAAACGTTGCGTTGCATTCTGTCATAATAAATCTGCCTGCGGCTTGAAGTTGGAGTGCCTGTGAGTTTTTTCCTCTTGGATTATTGTACTGGGATTGCTGGTCCTGCTCTGGAGCACCCTTGGCCGCTGGGATTGGGTGCGGTTCTCATCACTTACTCTGCTCAATAGTATGTACAGCACTGTGGAACCTGCACCTCCCTTATTTAGTAATTGCTAAATGAAATATTTTTTGTATACCAAAAAACATTTTTTTGTATATTTAATTTGGATTAGAAATATTTGGCAGTATGGAACAGAATGTGTTTTCTGGCACTTTTTCTTACTCAGAGGGGGATGCCTTACGGATTCTCCAAGCTGTTGAAAGCAATCATTCCTTTTTGCAAGTTCCCACTTCTGATAATGTCTCTATGAATTTGGAAAAATGTCTGAAGAAACATTTGAGTTATACTATGCATAGTGTTACTCTTGCCGAATACTACAAGGTACACCGAATACCGAGGGGCATGAGGATGAATGTCCAGCCTACCCTATTTAGAGATGATGTGGAATATTGTACTAGACTGGAAGCTATTTTGAACAAATGTTCAATGGATTGGATTCTCCTTAACTTGGAATTTCTTCAACAAGCGATTTCTAAGGCTAACGAAGAAGAAATTAAGTTGGAAGCAGAACTGATTAATACCTCTCAAGGATTGGATTTAACTATGGTTAAGGGCAAAATTAATCTGAATGTGGATAAGCTCAAAAAAGAAATTGAGGAGCGGAAGCGTAATAAATTCCAGAGAGATCGAACGGATTACGAGATGGGAAATGTATACCGGTGGCATAATCGTGACAGAGTGAAAAACTATCCCTTTAAGAAGAAAGAGCTCACAACAAGGAAAAAGGCACGTAAAATGAAACACCGTGTGGGTGGTGACTCATCTAATACCGAGATGGAAAATTCCCAAGATAGCTCTCTTTCTTTTTTAGAAAGAACCCCCACCTCCTCACGAATAACTTCAAGCGAAGAAGGATGCGACGAGGTGGGGGCAGTCACAAGAAATCGCACGCTGCCAGCCATCTGGGACCACAAAAAAATGGGTCCGAAGAGAAAGAAACTACAGTAATTAACATCTCCGCTACAACATTAACTAATGATGAACTGTCCGTCCTCTCCAAGGGCTTAACATTTTGCCCTTTATACATACCAACACATGTTGAGCTGGACTTGGAACTGACTCGTTTTTTCCGTACTCTTAGGTTGAAAACTTTCATTGATAAGATGCCTGTGCCCACCTCATTGTCTACTACTCAGAGGGATGCGGACATTAAACTCAGTGATACCAAACTTAAGAATAAGAGTAGGTTTAACCCTCCTTCTATTGATCATGCTATTGAGGTTTTTGCTAAGTTGGTACAAAAGGATTTGAATACTATAACTTCATCCAAACCGATACGTAAACATCTCCAAGGTATGCAGAACCTCTCTAAGAAGGAAAGATTGGCTTTAAATACTCTCAGTGGGAATAAGGCAATCACAATCAAGTCTGCAGACAAGGGGGGTGCTATAGTGGTGCAAAATACAGTTGATTATGTAGACGAAATTCTTAGACAATTGGGAGACACTACGACATACAAACGTCTATCTGGTGACCCCACTCTGAACTTACAGTCGAAAATAGAAACTTGTTTAAAACAGGCCTTGGACAACCATATTATTGATAAGGAGTTGTTCAAGTTTTTGTTTGAAACAACACCGGTTGTACCGGCCCTATACACTCTCCCAAAGATTCACAAATCTTTAACTAGACCTCCCGGTAGACCTATAGTAGCAGGGATAGGTTCCCTGTTGTCACCTTTAGCTAGATTCCTTGACAACATTTTAAGGCCTTTTTTGAGCAATATTAAGTCGTATGTAAGGGATACCACTGAGGTGTTACTAAAACTTAAAGAAATATCATCTAATGATAATTTGGTTCTTGTCACTCTGGATGTGACAAGTTTATATACATCTATTGAACATGATGCTGGTCTGGCGGCTGCCAAATCTGCATTCATGTCACTTGGTTTTAAGGATGATGTCTTGAACTTTCTGATGGTGCTCTTAGAGATTGTCATGAAAGATAACTATTTCTTGTTTCAAAAACAATTCTTTTTACAGTTGAAGGGTACCTCGATGGGCTCCAATGTGGCACCCACATATGCTGGAATATTTATGTCAGATATGGAAGAAACATTGATTTATCCTCATTTCTTATTCCAACAATTCGCCACTAGGTGGTGGCGTTATATTGATGACGTGTTGCTATTGTGGTGTGGCACATTGGAGTCCCTTGAGGATTTTTTTACTTTCTTGAATACATGCTCGGACAGTATCAAATTTACAATGACTTATGATCTGGTTGAGATACCATTTTTGGATATTTTGATTAGAAAACATGAGGATAGGCTTGTCACCGACCTATATAGGAAGACTATGGATAGGAACACACTCCTCCATTTCTCTAGTGCTCATCCTCCAGCTATATTCAAAGCCCTCCCTAAGAGTCAATACACCCGTGTCCGGAGACTTGTATCTGACGGTGATACTGTTGAGAGGCGTCTGGATGAGATGACCACCAGATTTATGGAACGGGGTTACCCTTTACCATTGCTTAATACTCAGCTCAACCAAGTGAAGGATCAGGATAGAGAGGATTTACTCCACTCCCATAAATCACAACGGAATGACAAGAGGTTAAAATTTGTATCCAAATTTGGGAGATATTCAGATGACTTACGAAAAATTGTATATAGGCATTGGCATATTCTTGCCCAATGTCATCCCAACATTGTGGAATTTTCCCAAAGACCTATGTTTGCCTACAAAAGAGGCACCTCGTTGAAAGATAAATTAGTGAAAACTTTGGTTCCTGAGTCTACTGACACTTTATCTGATGTGAAACAAGGTAATTTTCCTTGTTACAATTGTGTCTCTTGTCATTCGATGATCCGGGGTGATGTGATTCATCACCCCCGGAGTGGTAGAAAGTACTCTATTAAACAATACTTGACTTGTGATTCTGACTTTGTCATCTATGCATTGAAATGCCCATGTGGCCTTCTATATGTGGGGCAAACTAGTCAGAAATTCAAGATGAGATTCTCTAAACATAAGTCCATGATTCGGACTAGATTGACTGATTTGCCCTTACCGGCACACTTTATAGAGGCTAGACATGGGGTCTCTCAGCTCAGATTCCAGATTCTAGAACAAATTATGGAATCTCCTAGGAGGGGAGATAGAAATCGGAGGCTTCTGTTACGTGAGGCATATTGGATACGGGAACTGGATACATTATACCCAAAGGGTTTGAATTATGAATATGATTTGTCTATGCTTATTTAAGGAATGATTGCTTTATTTTATCTTTGTTTTTTAACTCTCCTTTTTTTATATTTTTCAGGATTTTTTAGATGTTTGGTGCTGGTTTCCTAGACACCCTATTTTTGTCTACTACACGATATGATAAGCTGAATCTTTCAGGGACTTCTAGGATTTCTCAGGGACTACTAGGATGTGGACACATTTACTCTCTATTTAATGCACAATTATATTATTATAAGTACATGAATGCACTGTTAGGACATAAATGCACTTTTAGCAGTAAGGATGGTATTTCCGTCCTGTGGTGTTATACACTGTGATCACATTATTTGACTGGGATCACTTATTCAAAAACTAGTTAATTAGTTTTTCACCATTTTTACACTGTGTTCATAAGATTACTTAGACTGCTTGGATTTATTACTCATTTTGTTTATGATTTGTGGCACTTGCACTTTATTACTTTTTACTTCTTTAACATAGTTACTTAATTGAAGCACTGACTACTTGAGAGTTCCATATGTGGATATTAGATACTCTCCTTGTTTTTCTCACATAGATTATCAATAGATTCCTTATGCCTATATAGTCTCTGTCCTTATATATATATATATATATATATATAGACTCTTATGTTCCATATGGGAATTCACGGTCCCTTTATTTCCTTTGCTGTCTCCTTTTTTATTTAATCCCTGCTAGGTATAGGTGTTTGACTTTTGAGGTCTGTACCTTTAATCTGGAATGATGTCGACTGTGCCTATATATGAGAGAATATAATTAGACTATATAGTCTTTGTCCTTATATATACAGACTCTCATGTTCCATATGGGAATTCACTGTCCCTGTATTTTTTTCGCTGTCTCCTTTTTTATTTAATCTTTGCCAGGTATAGGTGTTTGACTTTTGAGGTCTGTACCTTTAATCTGGAATGATGTCGACTGTGCCTATATATGAGAGAATATAATGAGACTATATAGTCTCTGTCCTTATATATACAGACTCTCATGTTCCATATGGGAATTCACTGTCCCTGTATTTTCTTTGCTGTCTCCTTTTTTATTTAATCTTTGCCAGGTATAGGTGTTTGACTTTTGAGGTCTGTACCTTTAATATGGAATTGGCTCTTATTTGGTATAATGATTATTCTAAGTATCCATCTCTGGTATTCCTATATGAATAACTATTATTCCTGTTTATTTACTTATATTGTATATTACATCTAATAGATTTATTTTCCTGATCTGTGCCATATAACATGCCTGAATGATTAGGATGTTCTGTGAAGATTTACTTTGGGATAGTGATGTGGCAGAGTGAACATACTCCACTATGTGGGCTGTGCAATGGTGAATTGAACACAGAACGATGTTATGTTTGGTCCTCCAGCCAATCCGTTCGGAGGAAGATTTCGCACGTGCGTTCCAATGACGTCACGTGCGGTTCACAGACCCGGAAGTGGGTCGCGTTTGGATACCATGGAGGATACGCTGCATGTATTTACTTTTTTTATTTGCTGTTTTCTTATGTATTTCTTCTCTCCTCTATGGGCACAGTATTTGTAACCAGGGAATACTCATGACATAATAGGTTATCATATATATATATATATATATATATATATATATATATATATATATATATATATATATATATATATATATATACACACACACACACACACACACACACATTTTAGAATTCCTAGCATTAATATGATCATAGAATGATTCATGTCTTGTGTGTATGAAGTTAATGATATAGTGTGCACTATTTATCTGATTTATGTATATATTGTAATATTTCACATTTGATATTTGTTTCTTTTACAATGCCTTTTTAAATTACCTTTTTATCAATTAAGAACTTCTACTAATTAGCAGTAATTGATTGATTGATTTCTTAGTTGTTAGTGTTTGTTATATAAGCACATTTTGCACCATGTGGTGTCAGCTTGAAAAAGACCTTTCCGGTCGAAACGTTGCGTTGCATTCTGTCATAATAAATCTGCCTGCGGCTTGAAGTTGGAGTGCCTGTGAGTTTTTTCCTCTTGGATAATTTTAGCTTCCTGTCTGAGATAAAGTTTCATTTATAAGTATATTTATGTTTTGCATATGAAGGATAAGTGTTTAAGTTATTTTGGAATGCTAGACTAATTTACATGCTTATATTAGTTTTAATATGCTTTTGACAATGTTAAAAGATATGGATTTTTGTGATGCACTGCCACTTTAAGAATAATAATTGGATATTACATAATGTTTGGTTTTGCCCTTGCAGCCTTTTCTTGAGAAATTCCAATTTACTGAAAAATGTTGACTGATGCCACACAAGACTAAGCTGATCGAGTACTACACTTGAAGAATGGATTAAACGTCTTGCCATATGCAGAACGCAGTTGTTGGCTTCCACTGCAAGGGAGTTGTGTGCAACACAAAGCTCTCACTGGTAGTTACCTATAAAGTGCCATTTAGTTATCATGACTCATTTTTATTTGATACAGGAAGCTGTCTTTTAGTTTGCACGTGAGTACATAAAAAGGTTTTATGGTACTTTGATTAAAAGGGACACGCATCACATGACATGTTTTTTAAACCAGCATGCAAACACTTTAAACAAATATACAAACCAAAATAAAGCAAACACTTTTTTAAAACTATGTGTTAAAGGGACACTCCAGGCACCCAGACCACTTCTGCCCATTGGAGTGGTCTGGGTGCCAACTCCCACTACTCTTAACCCTGCAAGTGTAATTATTGCAGTTTTTTTATAAACTGCAATAATTACATTGCAGGGGTTAACTCCACCTCTAGTGGCTGTCTACTAGACAGCTACTAGAGGGCACTTCCTGGTTCCTAGCACAGGAAAGATGTAAACGCATTCAAAGGGTGCCTCCTCTGTATGTACTCCTTTAAGAACAGGAATTCAGAAGAGGGTTCATATCACCCCAACACCATCGGGGAAGGCACCCTTTGAATGCGTTTACATCTTCAATCCTGTGAGTGCAAAGATTACTAGTGCATTGAAGATGTAAACTAATTGAAGATGTAAACTCATTCAAAGGGTACATATCCCTCGATGGTGTTGGGGTGCAATGAACCCTCTTCTGAATTCCTGTTCTTAAAAGGAGTACATACAGAGGACGCACCCTTTGAATGCGTTTACATCTTCAATCCTGTGAGTGCAAAGATTACTAGTGCACATATATAATTTATAACAGTATCACACTATCTTGTTTTGTGTTCTCTTTTAGATAATACAGCCATTTCCCATGTTTTGTTGTTTCTATTCCTATTGATGTAAGATCACCATCTGGGAGGTGATCAGTGGGAGGCTGTCCTGTTTACTTTATCACACTATCTACACATTTACTTTTGTGGGGATAGCACAGGTATGCCATCTTTTCCAGGACTTCCCGAAATACCCCCCTGGAGTGGGTGTGGAAAGCATAATAAATATATTTGAAACTATTTAAAGGAACACTATAGTCGCCTAAACAACTTTAGCTTAATGAAGCAGCTTTAGTGTATAGACCATGCCTCTTGGGTTTCACTGCTCAATTCACTGTCATTTAGGAGTTAAATCACTTTGTTTCTGTTTATGCAGCCCTAGCCACACCTCCCCTGGCTATGATTAACAGAGCCTGCATGAAAATAAAAAACTGGTTTCCCTTTCAATCAGATGTAATTTACCTTAAATTTTTTTATCTCATGCTCTGTAAATTAAACTTTAATCACATACAGGAGACTGTTGCAGGGTCTAGCAAGCTATTAATATAGCGGGGGATAAAAAAAAAAAAAATCTAAATTAAATAGAACTTGCAATAAAGGAAGGATAAGCATTAGATGACTCTTTACAGAAAGTGTTTAGGAAGGCTGTGCAAGTCACACACATGGAGGTGTGACTAGAGTTAATAAACAAAGTGATTTAACTCCTAAATGGCAAATAATTGAGCATTGAGACTGCAGAGGCATGATCTATACACCAAAACGGTTTCATTAAGCTAAAGTTGATTTGGTGACTATAGTGTCCCTTAACTGCCTTTTTCAGCCTGCAGAGTGAGGCAGCAGCCTCATTCAAAGCTAAAGCTTATGAATGAGAGAACTGTCTCAAAGTGATGTAAGTGATGTACGCTTATTCCTAATAGTTCTCTTTTTTAGGATACGCTGGAACAGGATTTGCTACAATGGAGGATATAATTTTATTTAAAGGAGGAATAAAAATACATTAATTGAAAATGTAATTAGACTAAGCCATTGTGCATAAATTGTGGTGACCCCTATTGTGTACAAGGTTCTGTAAATCTCACTTGTTACTTTAAGAAGGATGTGGGGGTTTAAAATGACTTAATTTGCACATTGTCTGCATTTGAATTTAAAAGAATGGAAAAGCTGCCATTGAACATCTGCAGTTTCCTGTCTAACAGCAAACCGGCTCTGTTTTATATCTTAAGCCAAGCCAAAATATATGAAGAATAGGATATGTGAAACAACATTAAATGTTTACAATTAATAAAATGACATACTGTTTTAAAGCTCAATTTAAGATCAAAATAATGCAGCATGCACAACAGAGTTTACTTAATTCATATGTACTATACTGAAAATAGACAACACTTCAAACATAGCATGACCAATATTAACACATGCACCATATGAAAGAGAACTACTCTTAATTTTAGAGCCTAATTACACTGGTTCTTAACAGATAAAAATGTATAAAGATAAAAATTCTTAAGACATTCTCACTACCAATTTCTATCGGATATCTCAACCTAACATGCAATGTGTTAGGATTTGCACAAAAACAAAAACTTCCATTTCCTCATATTTTAAATTGTATGTTTTTTCATTTTTTAATGCATAATGTAACAATACATTGAAAAGAATGGAACAATTCCTGTCGACATCTCTTATAAGCAAAGTCCCAGGCTCTGACCGTTCCAGATATCCCTGGTCCTTCTATTGGTTGAAAATAACATGGTACGTACCCCATGAAGCCAAATTCCACACGTAGACATGCAAACTAAAATGCAGTTCTTAGGCCCAACTTATTTTGTGGACTCATCTAAACAGACACAAACACAATATGAACAACAAAGTACGTTTGTTACACGTACACAAAATGTGTGTAGGTAGATGCACACAGGAATACAACCGTGATGTAACAGTATAGGGAAATGTGTGTGTTTTCCAATCATAAAAGAACAAAGTTTCAAGGCTAGTAAATAAAGACCGTGTTGCAAAGAATAAGAGTAAATAATAGCCTTTACTTACCGTATATACTCTATTATAAGACGACCCGAATATAAGCCGAGGCCCCTAATTTTACCCCAAAAAACTGGGAAAACGTATTGACTCGAGTATAAGACTAGGGTGGGAAATGCAGCAGCTACTGGTAAATTTCTAAATAAAATTAGATCCTAAAAAATTATATTAATTGAATATTTATTTACAGTGTGTGTATATGATGAATGCAGTGTGTGTATGAGTGCGCAGTGTGTGTGTATGAGTGCGCAGTGTGTGTGTATGAGTGCGCAGTGTGTGTGTATATTGCAGTGTGTGTGTGTATGAGTGCGCAGTGTGTATATAATGCAGTGTGTGTGAGTGCAGTGTGTGTATATATTGCAGTGTGTATATAAATCCAGTGTGTATGAATCCAGTGCGTGCATGAGTGCAGTGCGTGCATGAGTGCAGTGCGTGCATGAGTGCAGTGCGTGCATGAGTGCAGTGCGTGCATGAGTGCAGTGTGTGTTTGTGTTGCAGAGCCTTGGTGGGGGGGTGGGCATTTTTATAAAAAAGAAATATATATATTTTAATTTTTTTTGTTATATTATTATTTTTTTATTATTATTTATATTATTTTTAATATTATTTATATATTAATTAATTTATTTTGTTGTCCCCCCTCCCTGCCATGTATCAAGGCTCTCCCTTCCTGGCAGTTCAGTGGGGGGAGGAAGGGGGCTGGCAGAGCTGTTACTTACCTCTCCTGCAGCTCCTGTCAGCTCTCTCCTCCTCCGTGCCAGTCCGTGCAGCTCCTCTCTCAGCTCACACTGTAAGTCTCTCGAGAGCCGCACTATGACCCCGCGGCTCTCGCGAGACTTACACTGGGAGCTGATCGAGGTGCTGACCGGACCGGCGCGGAGGAGGAGGGAGCTGGCAGGAGCTGCAGGAGAGGTAAGTAACAGCTCTGCCAGCCCCCAGTCTGTATTATGGCAATGTAAATTGCCATAATACAGACATTGACTCGAGTATAAGCCGAATTGGAGTTTTTCAGCACAAAAAATGTGCTGAAAAACTCGGCTTATACTCGAGTATATACGGTATATGTTTATTAACTTTGAAGCGGTTTCTGCTGTGAGCATCAGGAAGGAGCACTTATTACAAAGTAAATAAGAACCTGATAAGGTCATAATGCTTAAGAAAAAAAAAGCATTTATAGGAACATAGAATGTGACGGCAGATAAGAACCATTCGGCCCATCTAGTCTGCCCAATTTTCTAAATACTTTCATTAATCCCTAGCCTTATCTTATAGTTAGGATAGCCTTATGCCTATCCCACGCATGCTTAAACTCCTTTACTGTGTTAACCTCTACCACTTCAGCTGGAAGGCTATTCCATGCATCCACTACCCTCTCAGTAAAAGTAATACTTCTTCTTCTTATTATTATTATTATTATTAGTGTGGTTTTTTTTTAGTTCTTTATTTTATTCTGGTGATTCAATACAATTGGATAAGATAAAAGACATTTGTGTGCAAAACATTGCAGTTATACATGTGTAGTAGCGTCTTAAGAGGTAGCCCCTTTTTCTTTTTTATACATCTACATTTTTGCTAGAATTGCACAGGAGTTAGTGATCGTTAAGATTTTAAAGTCGTATAGCTCAATCTACTAGGTAGTTGTGGTCTAAACCGTGATTGTCTAGGGATGTGGAGTAGAACTCCTGGTCTAGGTGTTGCTGCCCCCTAACCTATGAGTTCCCTCTGAGGGTCCCAGGGCTTTGAAAGTCTTTCCATTTTGGGTGACTGTAAGGGCGGCCAGCCCCTTGTAGAGGTTTTGTGATCTGCTGCATTGATTTTCGCCATAGTAAAGTGGCTCTGCTTAGGTCTTGAAAAAAGTGAGGGTTTGTGTTTCAAATTGTAGTGGGGTCTTACCCTTCACTGCGTTAAGGAGCCTGTGTTTATTGGCAAGAGTTTGGAAGCACAGAATAATGTCCCTTGCTTGTGATGATTTGGCTATGCAGTACATGCCGTCAAAGGTAATTTGTTTTGTGTTTTTTGCGGGCATGATGGAGGAGACTAGGCGTCTGACAAAGTGGGGGATCTCATCGGGTGGGCGTGAGTCCGCCACTCCGTGGATTTTGATGTTTCTGTTCCGCTTTCAATCCTCCATCTGGGCTAACCTGATGCCTTGGTGTGCTTGTGCTGTTTGGACGAGTTGCACAGATTCATTGATGATGCCCATGCACTGTTTGAGGTTGGTGAGGTCCGCTTCCACCATTTGGACCCTGTTTGTGACCACTTGTACCTCTGTCTGTACTGCCTTGAGCTCCGCTGAGAATGTGCACTAGTAGGTTGTATATGTCCTGTTTGGTGGACGGTGCGTGTCCACCTGCTATCGCCGGAGCCTCCGGCATGGAGACCTTTGTTGCAGGTGGGTCGGCCATCTTTTCAGGGCCTGGTGGTGTTGCCTCTCTGTTTCTGGAGGTTAGCATTTGGCCGATGTCCTGGCCTTCCCTGGATTAAGGTATGGGTCGTTTTCTGAGATTTGCGCACCATTTTTCCTCCTGGGGAAGTTTGACCGTGGTACTTGAGGTTTGTGTCCCCTTCTACGCCTGTTCCGAGCCAGTAAGGGTTGCTTTGCAGCCGCAGGATTCCCACACGGTAGGCCCGAGAGCCTTGGCGCTGGGTTTTAGCGTTCGCGGGGAATAAAAAGGGCATCCGCTAGCTCGTGGGCACCTCCCTTACTTGTTGGAGTTTATATCCCGGTCTCTTTGGTTGCTGCAGCGTTAACGTGATTTTGTCGGGATTCGCCCGGAACTGCGGGAAGGTGTGTCTGCCTCGGAACTCTGCTTGGCTCCGCCCCCATAATTAGTGTATTTTAATATTAATATAATTACAAATATTAATATTATAAAAAAAACTTAGAATGAAGTTACATATATAATTTAAGTAATTACAACAACACATAAAATAAATAATGAAAAATAAATTATATATACACATATGTAATTTCATTCTAACTGTATTTTGATATTAAAGGGACATTATAGTCACGCATACAACTTTAGCTTAATGAAGCAGTTTTGGTGTATAAATCATGCCCCTTCAGTTTCACTGCTCACTTCACTGCCATTTAGGAGTTAAATCACTTTGTCTGTGCAGCCTTAGGCACACCTCCATGCATGTGACTTGCACAGCCTTCCTAAACACTTCCTGTAAAGAGTAATCTAATGTTTATACTTCCTTTATTGTAAATTCTGTTTAATTTTGAATCTCTTATCTCCTGCTCTGTTAATAGCTTGCTAGACCGGCGGGAGCCTATTGAAATTAAAGTTCAATTTACAGAGCAGGAGATAAAAATGTTTTAAAGGAAATTACATCTGATTGAAAGTGAAACTATTTTGTTTTCATGCAGGCTGTGAGAGTCACAGCCAGGGGAGGTGTGGCTAGGGCTGCATTAACAGAACCAAAAGTAAAAAAAAAAAAAGAAGAAGTCGACAAGATTGTACAGGTTTACACACACACCGTCCACCAAACAGCCCATTACTACTAAACCACGACCCTACTTACCTAGAGGAGACAGGACAGGATTGAACAATGGGATCCAAGTAACAGGGTCACCTCTGGGAAAGATGGGGCCATAGAGGAACCATTGAGCAATAACCAAGCCCCTGACAGTACAATAGGATTACTCGCTGCCACTCAGAGTTCTGAGGCCCGTTTATAGGGAGGGGTTGAGATGTGGGATTTTCATGTTTGATATGATAAGGTATTGGAATCAGACATTTCTTCCACAAATATTAGGATAAATGTAATTACTAAAAGTGGTAAATTGTGAAAAGAATGACATTAATGATCTAAAAAAAAAGTTTATTGTAACCGTGGACCCACCGCTGTTACTGTATAAACCCTCTTCCTTTCTGTACCCAGATAACTGTTTTAATTCTTTGACTATAAAATAAAAATTGTCAAATTGAAAAAAGAAAAATAAACAGAACCAAAAGTGATTTAGCGCCTAAGTTGCAGAGAATTGAGCAGTGAGACTGCAGGTGCATAAGCAATATACTATAACTATAACATTAAGTTGTTTGGTGACTATAGTGTCCCTATAAAAAAAAAAAAAAAAATTAATAATAATAATAATATATATATATATATATATATATATATATATATATATATATATCAAAATACACTTAGAGTGTCATTTTATAAATATCTATATATAAATTATAATAATAATAAAATATATATATATATATATATATATATATATATATATATATATATATATATATATATATATATATATATATACACACACACACATACATACACAATTGCATAAGTTTACACGTAGAAATTAAATACAGATATATGTATACATATTAAAATTCTACGTGTATATTTATGTAATCTTCTAATATAATTATGTGATTTTATCAAAGGGAAACTATACTGCCAGGAAAACACTTGTTTTCCTGGCACTGTAGCTTCCCCTTCTATCAAGACCCCCTCCAGTGGCACTGAGTTAATAACCCCTTCAGTCACTTACCGGGGTCCAGCGCCGATGTCCCTCAGTACTGGCTCAGCTCCGCCCATGCTCCTCCCCCTCCATCAGCCAACTGGGGAAACCTACTGCGCATCAATGGCCACGCTCGCATTATTCAATGGTTTCCTAACGGGATTCCAGCAATGCTGGAGGTCCTCGTGCATAGCGTGAGGATGTCCAGCGTTGTTTAGACGACCAAAAGTAGTCTAAGAACCATGAAGTCCCTCTAGTGGCTGTCTGGTTGCAGGGTTAAGTTCTCCTCTAGACAGCCACTAGAGGAGAACTTAACCCTGCAACAGAAATTTTGCAGTTTATAAAAATGCCAATAATTACATGCTCAGGATTAAGGGTGATGGGAGTAGGTACCCAGACCACTTCAATGGGCTGAAGTGGTCTGAGTGCCTACAGTGTCCCTTTTATTAAAATTTGAGGGGCATGCCTGAAGACCAAGGCAGAACATCCAGAGTGCAGGTTTCAGTGTGATGCAGATGAGATTACTTGTTAAAATAACTATTGGTGTAAGTTATATTTTACATGCCATATAAACACATGCACCATTGAAGTAATTCATTAAACAAAACAAAGATGTAGTGGTTACTACGGCGGTAGTCTATAAAAACAAAATCAAACAATTTCCAAGTATGATAAATAAACATGAAGAAATAAAGGTGGTGTGTATATTTAATGTTACACCCATTCAAAACAGAAGTCCAAGTTCTTACCAATGATTTTACATTCTTTAAAAGGCCTATAAAGACTCATCTTAAAGGACAACGGTCACCTCAAGACTCATACCTACCTTGAGTATAGTGACAGTTGTCAACTTAGATAAGCACACTAAGCACCATAGCCACTACAGCTGTCATGGCTATGGCGCCAGGAGTGCCCTAGCACCCCCTACAGTAAGTAGTGAAACTATTTGACAACCAACCGGGGGTCCACCGCAAGCGTATTACAAGTCAGACGCTACTGCAGTGCCAGGCTGTCTAATTGGCTTACACGGTGAGCTGACCACCCTCAGCCAATAAGCATGGTCCTGCACTGTCAGGCTCAGCTCAATAGCAGAGCTTCAGGAGAAAGTATTGTGGGTGCCCGGCTGACCCTAGTTAAGTTGTCAAACCATTCTTAAAAATGGTTTCACTAATTATTTTGGGAGGGTACCAGGGCAAAATGCTATTATATCCAAAATCCTTTCAACACCTGCAATGTTGGGTCACTGAAAACCACCCTATTATTTCCAAGTTTGCAGAACAATGTGTCTATAATTACGAGACTGGTGGGTTTATTCAATAAACTCTGAAATATAACAATCAGGAAACTTTACGTTAAAAAAAAAAAAAAAGTTGATCTGCAAATACCCTCCAACTCAGCTATACCCACAGCTTGGCTATATGGGCCTAATTTTGCTGTTCTGAAGTTTATACGGTGGTGATTTGACAACCATTTGCTTGTTCAAAACCATAGCCATAAACATTTAGGAAAGTCAAATGACTTACAAATTTAGCAGAGTTACTGAGCTAATCAGATTGCAGCATAGACATCACCCTAGCCATTATAGGAAATACAAGCACCACCCTGACTTAACAAAAGCTCTTAATTTTGACGCAGTTCATGAGGAAATCAAGCAATAGAACAATGATGGCTACATGTAGTGAAAAATAATAATGAGCCAGCAACACAAAACAGCCACACCTCATTGCCATTAAATAAAGCTTGAAAATCTCACTCTGGAGGAAAGAAGAATGCAGAGTAACTAATGGATAACAACTAGCAGGCTGAGCTTCATAGGAGCGGCTGCCCATAGCAATTGGTTTGTAATCGTGATTGTTGTAATGTAAATAAAACATGCAGTTATCATAAACAATTAGTTGATCATGTCATAGGACGTCATGTCTCATACTGAGTGGGGGGAGGGTGGGAGTAATTAAAGACAGCCCTATGCTTATAGCAGCTCTTATAAAGCTACTGATTAAAGTTGTTTTAGAACTCCGACTCCCACGATGCTTGGCAAGCCCTAAGGTTGACAAATGACAAGCCTGTGTTTTGTCACCCCCGTCTAAATGTTGTCAGCCTGCTAATCCCATTACAGCTGGCTGTGTGTGATGGGTGGAATTTAGGCAGTGCCCTGGAGTCCAGTCCAACATAAACCCTCAGCCAGCCAGCCCAGACACACACAGGGAGGAGGATATTGAGCTGGTTGTCAGACTACTAATCCCATTAAAGATGGCTGTGTGTGATGGGTGGAATTTAGTCACTGCCCTGGAGACCAGCCCAACATAAACCCTCAGCCAGCCAGCCAGCCAGCCAGCCAGCCCAGACACACACAGGGAGGAGGACATTGAGCTGGTTGTCAGACTACTAATCCCATTAAAGATGGCTGTGTGTGATGGGTGGAATTTAGTCACTGCCCTGGAGTCCAGTCCAACATAAACCCTCAGCCAGCCAGCCAGCCAGCCCAGACACACACAGGGAGGAGGACATGGAGCTGCTGGGAGATTGCTCATGCTGCTGCCGCCCATACCTGCACTGCCCGGCTCAGGAAAGTGCCAGCATCGGCCGCGAACTTCTTTACGTTGAAGTCCATGGTGTAGGCGGACCCGGGGGCTGACAGTGAGGGAGGTTAATGTAACCAGCGGAGACACAGTATTCCAGGAACCCCCGAGTGTCAGCGGAGACACCCTGTGACCGGAAATGGACGGCCTTTCACGTCACCATAGAGATGCCGCCTGACACTGACTTCACTTCCGGTTCCCTGGAGGACTGGAGTCAGTGTGTTCTAGAACACAGAACATGGCTGCTGTTGGATTGTAGGACTGTGACTGGGGGGATTATTCTACTGCTAGTGATCAGCAGTCTGCCCTGCTGGGAAATGCAGTCCACAAAATGCTGCAGGATCCCCAAAGGGTGGCCTTTCAGGGTTATCCATCTGTCCAAAACCAGACAGGAACCATGGAGGGACATGTGGACTCCACATTTAACATAGACAGCCTGCAAAGTAGACTAACTGTAGACCAGGGGGAATATAACATGGTGCAAAAAGTAATCCTTAGACCAAAATGGATAATGGGTAAACAAATGGTACTTGGCTTAGTACAACTAAAAGACAGCTTCCCAAAGAGGCCTTCCCCTGTGGCTCATACAAAAATATACAAAAATAGAGATACAGCTGTAATCTATAACAAAAAAAAAATAAAAAATACATAGTGAAATACAGTAATATGAATGTATTGCACGGCAATTATTGGATACGCTCACAAGATATAAATTCAAGAAGCGCCTCAAGGCCCTCAATGGGGCTACCGTAGTTCTGTCTCCACACTGGGTCAGGATGAATACTCAGCAGGTACAGGAACTTAACAGAGTCAGGGATCAGGTTAACGAGTAATATAATTTATTAGGCTTTAAATGCCTGATATAAAAGTAATTAGTAAAAATAAAACATAATAAACATGGTAGGTCTTATGTGAACGCTCAAATGCAAAATGTTAAGGTAATTTAATTAATCCACACCCTCTGCAAAAAAACAAAATTAAAACATTGTCGTGTTTGTACCTTTTCAAGTAAAGTTAGTATGGCCACGTTTATTTTTTACTTCACTCTACATACACTTTTTTGGAATATACTTACATGCTAAATGCGTTGTGTTAAAGGGATACTATAGTGCTGTCTGGTAGACAGCCACTGGAGGCAGACTTAGTTCTTCAATGTAACCATTGCAGTTTCTCTGGAATCGCAATGTTTTACATTGCAGCACTAATTGCAATAGGGACACTGCACCCAGATCACTTCAATGAGCTGAAGTGGTCTGGTGCCTATAGTGTCCCTTTAGGTTTGCACCCTATGCCTTTACTGCATTACCGTTTTTTTACAGATGTGTGAACATCATGAAGAGGACTGTGAATCAAATCACCTTACCAGTGAGCAAATCTGAACTAAAGAAACTTACCATAAATAACTTACCCAGGTGAACCACCATCCAGGGAGGGTGGGAGGGATAATACTCGCCTCTGTGTCGTTAATAAAATCATGACTTTACGTCATGTAAATAGTAAAATGTGGTAATTTTATTAAGACACGGAGGCTCCTATTATGCTGGTTTAAAGCTGTGATATAACTTTTCCAGCAAAATGTTCGATCGGTTTGAAGTAAAATCACGAAAAGTGGATTCTGAAGACCAATCTGCAGCTCGTAAGATATCGTCTAGTCGACATCTTATCGCAGAGGCTCCTTGAACAGAGTGTAGAGAGAACACGGAAGTGTCAATGCCTGCCAAAGTCATAATCTACTTAAACCATCTGGCTAAGGAAGGAGAGGATACTGGAAGATGTGGTTTGCTGACAGAGATAAATAACTGAGGTCTCATAGGGTTCCGGAGCGGAGCCGTACGGAGTTCGTATTCCTGTAGGCATGCCACTGGGTACGCTGGGTATATTACGGAGTTAGAAGATGTTTTGGTCCTAGAGATATCGAAGAGAACGCCTTCCGGTGTAAAGGATCAAGCATCTGTGTCCAAAGCTCGTACATCCAAGACTCTTTTGCATGAAATGAGGCAGAAAACGATGACCTGTTTTGCTGACAGTTTTTTGAGGTGTAATGAAGTATTATCTGGCCATGACATTAGAAAATGGAGGACAAGAGAAACGTCCCAGAGTGTAGATTAACGAGGGAGCAGAGTACGAGAAAATCGTACTCCGCGGAGTAAGCAATAGACAAATGGATGTCATCAGATGGGGGCACCATCGATGCCTTGATGTCCAGTGGAAAGCGCCAAGTGGTAGAGGTTAACCGTGCGGTACGCTTTTCCTGCTTCAAAAAGGGAGGTCAAAAATAGTAAGACGGCTGTCAAAGGTGCCGATAAGGGATCCAGGTTCCTTCCCAAGCACCAACCATTCCATGCATTCCAAGCAGATTTATAAGCTTGTCTCATGCCGGGTGCCCATGCATTCTCGAGAAGTTGATTGCGGAACACCTTCGCTTGACCAAGGTCTCCTGAAATCAGCCACGTCATAAGTCGGAGGAGGCCCTGGAGGATTAAAGGGTGAGATTGTCGGTCCAGATCCTTAAGGAGAAAATCGTATGATGTGAGAAGGCAGGGAAAATCTATCGCCATTTCACATAGATGGGGGAAACATAGAAACATAGAATGTGACGGCAGATAAGAATTTGGTCCATCTAGTCTGCCCAATATTTCGAAATACTTTTAATTAGCCTTATCTTATAGTTACGATGGACTTATGCCTATCCCACGCATGCTTCAGCTGGAAGGCTATTCCATACATCCACTACCCTCTCAGTAAAGTAATACTTCCTGATATTATTTGTAAACCTTTGCCCCTCTAATTTAAGACTATGTCCTCTTGTTGTGGTAGTTTTTCTTCTTTTAAATATGGTCTCCTCCTTTACTGTGTTGATTCCCTTTATGTATTTAAATGTTTCTATCATATCCCCCCTGTCTCGTCTTTCCTCCAAGCTATACATGTTAAGATCCTTTAACCTTTCCTGGTAAGTTTTATCCTGCAATCCATGAACCAGTTTAGTAGCCCTTCTCTGAACTCTCTCTAAAGTATCAATATCCTTCTGAAGATACGGTCTCCAAATATTCCAAGTAAGGTCTCACCAGTGTTCTGTACAATGGCATGAGTACTTCCCTGTCAGGAAACAGACAGGGATCCAATACGCAGAGTGCGCACAGAAGGAGGTACGTATACCGGACCTTAGAATGGCCGGACTAACGTAAGGACAAAGCAAGAATAGTCAAAAGGTAAGCCGAGGTCAAGGGAGCCGGAGGACAGGTAAGCGAGATACAAGCCGAGTCAAAGGAGAGGAGAGGACAACAGGACAAAAGACAAGCAAGGGTCAAAACCAGAAAACACTAGATAAAGAACGCGCTGAGTGACTAGCAAGCTAGAACCACGACAGGGCAATGAGCAGTAGTAAAGGTTTCCTTTAAATACCCTGTTACCTAAATAGAGACCACGCCCCCAAAAGGTCCGGAATAGCGGTTCCCGGCACTTTATGCAAATGCCGACGTCATGACGTCGACGCTAGCCGTCGCGTCATAAAAGGGGGAGGAGCTAGCGCGGCCGGCGCGAAAACGGCCGAAATATGCCGAAATGCTAGGGGAAGGGAGCCCCTAAGCAGAGAGGATGTCCTCCCTGGATACATCACCAACAGGTACCCTGACAGTACCCCCCCTTCTAGAAACGCCCACCGGGCGGATGGGACCTGGCTTAGAAGGAAAACGAACGTGGAAGGCCCGAAGAAGACGAGGAGCATGCACGTCTATACCAGGAACCCAAGACCTCTCTTCTGGACCATAACCTTTCCAGTCTATGAGGTATTGCAGCTTCCCCCTAGAAATACGAGAATCAAGGATGGACTTGATGATATATTCCTCCTGACCATCCACACGGACCGAGGATGGAGGAGTAGAGCGGGAGGAAAATCTGTTACAAACAAGAGGTTTCAATAACGACACATGAAAAGAGTTAGGAATGCGTAGAGTAGGAGGTAGATCCAGCAAATAAGAAATCGGGTTGATCCTCCTCAGTACCCTGTAAGGACCAATGTAACGAGGAGCAAACTTCAAGGAAGGAACTTTCAGGCGAATGTGTCTGGTACACAACCAGACCCTATCCCCCGGAGAAAAAATAGGAGCAGGACGTCTACGCCTATCAGCATGTGACTTAAACACCGCGGAACTACGCTCAAGAATTTGTCGAGTCTGATCCCACAACTTTCTCAGGTTGGCTATATGAATATCAACCGACGGTATACCCTGGGAAGGAGACACCGACGGAAGAACAGTAGGGTTAAAGCCATAGTTCAAGAAAAAGGGGCTATTATGAGTGGAACCACAAACAAGGTTGTTGTGAGCAAACTCCGCCCAAGGAATCAGACCGACCCAGTCATCCTGGTGTTCAGAAACAAAACAACGTAGATATTGCTCAATTTTTTGGTTAGTGCGTTCGGCTGCTCCGTTAGATTGAGGATGATAGGCCGAAGAAAAATTCAGTTTGATGCCCAACTGTGAACAGAAGGATCTCCAAAAACGGGAAATAAATTGGGAACCCCTGTCTGACACAATCTCATTGGGAATACCATGTAAACGGAAAATTTCTCTAGCAAATATCACGGAGGACGGAAGTTTAGGCAAGGGAATGAAATGAGCCATTTTAGTAAACCTGTCAAGGACCGTGAGTATAACTGTATGCCTATTGGAAGCTGGTAGATCAACAATAAAATCCATAGCCAAGCAAGCCCAAGGTTTGTTGGGAACGACTAAGGGCTGCAATAAACCACAAGGGAGATCCCGCGGAAGTTTATTCCTGACACAAACATTGCAAGCCTTGACAAAGTCTTCCACATCCCTACGTAAACCGGGCCACCAGAAGTCTTTTGAGATCAGGCAGTAAGTTTTGTGGATGCCGGGGTGACCAGCGATCTTGCTATCGTGGAAACAGCGAATAATGTCCACTTGGAATTTGGGAGACACGAACAAGCGGCCCACAGGAGTACGTTCGGGAGCAAGAGATTGTTCGCTCTGAATATCAGCGAGCAATGGAGAGTGTATTTTGACATTGG